GGCTGTAGTCATATAGGCTGTAGCTCACGCATGCACGCCCGCATGCACACACACATTGTAAGTAATGTTTTTCCCACCGTTTTTTTCCCCCATAACTCTTGTGATTGAGTTGCCAATAGGTTGGCAAAAATGGCTGTTTTCATATCCATGTGTGGTCAGTTTTTGAAGATTTCTTCTTCACACCCTGGCTCCCAGACTTATATGTATAAGTGATTGGAATAAGTTCTTATACATACAGTATATACACAGACAGGTTTTGTCTGACCTTGACCCAGTTCTGTCAGTACACTTGGTGCAGGTTGCTATGATACAGCCAAAAAGTGCTGACAGTGACAAAACACAACCGCTTCATCACTGCTGGCAAACCTGTTACATCTGTCTGTCTCAGTAGTCTTGAACACTGTTACTGTGGCGCTGTATGGATACCATTTCTACCACAATACACCTACTGTCAAGAACTGTTTTTGTTTATCTAAAAAGAATAAACATGTATTTTATGTGTACATTTAAAACACACTATTTACTCAAACAATTTAAATATATTGTACTGAAATACCCTAACTCCTCAATTTGAACTCACAGACTATATTTCTTTTAGTTCTTTTTACCACATATATTATAATTACTATATTTTATTACTAGTATGCATTTCTGGCGTCCCCGCCGTAATATTGCTGGAATATTGCTAAAACCAGCGTTATACCATACTCACTCTTATTCACTCACTCACTCACTCACTCACTCACTCACTCACTTTTTCATTTACACTCACTCACTCACTCACTATCACCAGTATCATAATTGGAATATTTGTAATGTATATAAAAGCTAGCTGGTGTTTATTCAAGTTTTTTCAAGGCCGGGCATTTCATCAAGTATGTTAATTGTATGCAAACACTAAGATATGAGGCAGAAAATATATGAATGTTGTTGCACAATATTTGTTATGATGACTTACATGTTCAAAAGATGGTGGTGATAGGATCACGGATGTAAAACATGAAAGCAAGAATCGTTGTTTGTGATGATGGGCCGTTCCGCATCCTGAAAGGAAGTAACTTCATACGCAACGGAACGGAATCAGTTATAACACTTGACCCTAGCAAGACAACACTCACATCTTTTGGAAATCACAACAACATAATGATGCATTGTTTGTCAAAATGTGCAATGTTGATAATTAAGTAGTTATCTTCTTCTATTAGTGAAGATTAATATGGCTGCATTAGTAACAAATTGGGGACTGGGGGTAGCCTAATGGTTAGAGAGTCCGCTCGGCATGCTGAAGACCCGGGTTTAATCTACGGCATGGGTACAATGTGTGAAGCCCATTTCTGATGTTCCCCGCCGTGATATTGCTGGAATGTTGCTTAAAGCAGTGTAAAACAATACTCACTCACTCACTCACTCACTCACTCACTCACTCACTCACTCACTCACTCACTCACTCACTCACTCACTCACTCACTCACTCACTCACTCACTCACTCACTCACTCACTCACTCACTCACTCACTCACTCACTCACTCACTCACTTGTAACAAATTGAACACAAAATATGTGTTTAATATTGCAGGCTCTACAATCCATTGAATACACATTGAACTCAAGGACCGACATTGTGCACGGAACCTCTAGCTTCTATCAGTACAATAACACAAAGTCTGGATTAACGTACGCAATGTATAGCTATTGAGAAGCCTGGATCGCTGGTCTTCATACAGTCCTGAACCATTTACACTGAGATACAAACACATATACAGAACATTATGACTTTAAGGTAACAACAGGGGGTGGAAATGGCAGCTAAGATTCTTTGCACCTGCTTTGTGTACAGCCTAATGTGTCTATAGTGTCTTTTACTGGGGAGGGACTGGCCCAATCATCTAAGGCATTGCAGTTCGCTGTGTAGAGATGCCTCTCTTGACACATCCCAGACCTATAATTTGAGGGTTCAAATCCTTATTGATGCATACTATTTTTGAGGTTTGCCTCACTGCCATAACCATACATGTGGGTTTTACGAAGTGGTAAATTCCAAGATCTCTATCACTTCAAGTTCTTCCATCTTAAGCTCAAATCTTGTGATACAGACCTGTGAAGATCCGGGTTAGAATTGATCTTCAGTAACCCATGCTTGTCGTAAGAGGCAACTAACGGGATCGAGTGGTCAGGCTCACTGACTTGGTTGACACATGTCATCGTATCCCAGTTGCGTAGATCGATGCTCATGCTGTTGCTCAGGGGATTGTCTGGTCCAGACTCGATTATTTACAGACCACCGCCATATAGCTGGAATATTGCTGAGTCGCGGCGTAAAACCTCACTCACTCACTCACTCACTCACTCACTCACTCACTCACTCACTCACTCACTCACTCACTCACTCACTCACTCACTCACTCACTCACTCACTCACTCACTCACTCACTCACTCACTCACTCACTCACTCACTCTTGTGATATAACAGGAATACTCCTTCAAAGCAATGCTAAGACCACTCGCTCACTGTTACAGTTAACCAGTGTAGATCCGGGTTGGAATTGGTCTTCAGTAACCCATGCTTCTTGTAAGAGGCGACTAATGGGATTCGAAGGTCAGGCTTGCTGACTTGGTTGACACATGTCATGGTACCCAGTTGCATCAAGACTCATGGTGTCAATCACGGGATCGTCCGGTCCAGGCCTGATTTTAACAGCCACTATTCTTTTTCTGGAATATTACTGAGTGCCGTGTTAAACAACAAACAAACAAAACTGCTACTTTCCCTCATCAATATCACTTGCATAAACTACCTTAGACTAATATGGGGGCGGTGGGGTAGCCTAGTGGGTAAAGCGTTGGCTCGTCACGCCAAAGACCTGGGTTCGATTCCCCACATGGGTAAAATGTGTGAAGCCCATTTCTGGTGTCCCCTGCCATGATGACGCTGGAATATTGCTAAAAGTGGCGTAAAATCAAACTCACTCACTTATTCACTCACTTAGACTAAAGCTTAGCCTCTGGATATATATAATATTGATAGTAACAAACAAACTCATTAAAATAGAAAAGGAACCTCCTTGAGACCAGAGATTCAGAACCTGAGGAAATCTAGACTTGTTTCATTTAGGGCTTTAGCATTGTAGAGAGGGCTTGGCTGTAGGGAAAATAATGTGGTTCAGGGACTGTGAGACAGACCTATACTACCTCTAAGACCTTGGTACAAAAACACATGAAAACATGACACAGTTTGTGTGCTTACAGTGTAAGTTGTTAGAGAGTGTGGGAAAGTGCCTTTGGCTCATTATCTCCTATGCACAACACAAGTGGTATTTGTAAATGTATATAGTAACAGCCATGCCAAGCCTGGTCTCCATCAAAATCGGTACACCGTACAGACACGAGACTACAGACAGCTATTTACACAAGCTGAATAACGTTGACTTTATGTTATTCAACACCTGTCAGATACAAAATATGCAAGGCCTCCATGCTATTCACCCTCCAACCAGTCAATCCACATGTTGGTCATATTACCTATGGATGAGGGATTGCCATGCGGAGAGTCTGCAGGTACACATGATGCTGTCTGCAGGTACAACGTGATACATGTCCGCAGATGGCGGTGTGATTAGTGTTTTGTGGCCAACACCTAAATGTCAGACTGGGTTTCCCACAACGCAGGTCACACCAGGCTACGCATGCACTTTCATTGTAGTCGTGTGGGGAGAATAAATTGAGCTGCATCTGCTGGGTGGCATATGCATTGGCGATAACTTTGTCAGCGGATCATTTTTTGAACATGTGGCTGTTTCTTTTTTTGGCATTACCTGGAGTTGAGGATAATGCGTTGTTTGAATCAGTTCTGAAGGGTTTTCTTATTTAAATAAAATGGGTATTTAATGTCAGGGGAATAATGTATTCCTTCTTTATCGGCAAAATTGGTGTTATGAAATGCTTGTAATGCGTGGATGGATATTATACTGAGTGTTTCTTATGCTCAGCGTCAGAGGAAGATAATGGACAGAAGAAAATATAGATACTGGGTATTTTTCCAATGTTCATTGTTCATGGCCCATCTGTTTTATGTAGATATTTTTCTTTGAGGGACACTGGGATTGAGGTAATTTAGGACCAGAGAGAGTTGAAAAGTCGTAAAACAAGACAGTTTGGTCAAATTTAGCTTGGACATGTATGTTTGTAATATTGATAATAGCAGGGTAAAAACTGTCTGACAAATAGAAATATTTTAAAAGCTTAGAGCATTCAAACAAAAGGTTTCTATTATTTGTCTTCTAAATGTGTTCTGAATGGGAATAGAATACTATTTGCACTCGGATGGCCTTGTGATCTAATGCTGTGCAGAGTTCTGTCCCTTAGCCATGCCTGGAGCCACTGATCATGGGTTCAAATCCTAGATTCATTCTGATAATCGTTGTTCATCAAGCAGTATCCATACGAGTGAGTGAGTTTAGTTTTACGCCGCACTCAGCAATATTCCAGCTATATGGCAGGAGTCTGTAAACAATCGAGTCTGGACCAGACAATCCAGTGATCAACAGCATGAGCATCAATCTACGCAATTGGGATACGATGACATCGAGATGACTTACTGTGCAGCTTTAAACCCAACTTGTTCACTCTCTCATGTTACTGAAATTTAAATTTAGAATTTAGAATTCTACCCTTGGCTTTCTGCCTTATGGTCCAGGGTCAAATTCTAATTGAAAGGTCACCACAATGAGTATGTTCTCTAATTGTATGGCTTTGTGTTCTGAATCTGATCTAACTTTGCAAACTTCAAGCCTATGAGCCTGGGTTCAAAGATTTGCTATGATTATAATTCTTCCTGTGCGCAAACATTTCACGAAAGTGGTATTCATCGTAGGTCTACCTCAGTGACAACACTGGCCAGTCTGCTCCGAATAAATGCATCATGTCTTATATGTTTGAAATGTCAGTCCATTTGATTGTATTTTCATGCAACTATCTCACAATGTCTTTTATTCATTTCAGGCAATAATGAGGGGGTCCGAGGGCCATGGCCGCTCCCTCAGCCCCTCCCCACCAGAACACAGAATCTCCCGCCCTACCTCTGTCATACGCCCCCCAGGGAAACAGATCATACCCCAGGAGTCAATAGCGGTCAACAAAACCCTGGGGGAGGGGGAGTTTGGGGTTGTACAGCAGGGCGTTTGGACCACAGAGGATGGAGATAAGGTATGTAGAATTTAGTTGTTGTAATTCGTGCTGAATGTAACGTCTTTGTCATTATAATCATTGAAAATGTAAAAGAGGCAATTAAACTGAAGGAGACCTTAAGGCCATGCATGTCATGATGTCCTATTTGTGTAAAAGTTGAAGGTCGCAGGTTCGATCCCCAGCCACGTCATACCAAAAAAATGTAAAAAATGGTACTTGTTGGTCCCTGCCCGGCAACTGACCAATAGGTCAGTATTATATTTCACTGTCTCAGTTAAACTCAGTAGAGAACCTGGCTTAGAATTGGTCATCAGCAACCCATGCTTGTCGTAAGAGGCAACTAACAGTATAGTGTGGTCAGGCTCGCTCACTTGGTTGAGCATGTCATCGTATCGCAATTGTTTAGGTTGATGCTCATGCTGTTGATCACTGGATTGTCTGGTGTAGACTGGATAATTTACAGACTGACGCCATGTAGCTGGAATATTGCTGAGTGCCGTGTTAAACAACAAACAAACAAACCAACTCAGTAGCGAAACTGGGGACCAATATTTGACACCATGTACAATACCATTTTGTTTAGACCAGCTTATCTGATCAATCTTTCATAAGTCATACCTCAGAACACTTGAATGTTATGAAAACTATTTAGTTGAAATATGCGTCTGATAAAGATCCTGGTTTTAAATTTGAGGCACTTTCTCCAGCTATCTCAAACATCCTGGAGTCGCATACTTGTGATACGGAGAGCCCTGATGGCAGATAGAGCCTTATCTGTGTGGCTAATCCTGGAACTGTTTACCATAGTAACCATGATCCCCTTACTTTCAGGTGCAAGTTGCAATCAAGTGTCTCAGCAAAGACAGACTTCAAAATGGAACTCAGGAATTTTTAAAAGAAGCCTCTGTTCAGCAGAGTATAGACAATGAAAACATTGTACGGCTTTACGGCGTTGTTATTAACAAGGACAATGCCCTGATGCTGGTAAGTTTAATATGAACATGAATATTTAATGAAGAATGCTATGATAAAACTTCAAATGAGTGCTGCTGGTGACAATCATAGATGCTGGAAATATAATATTTTTATTTGAAATACTGAAGAACAAAAAAGTGCCTCTCAGAATAGATATGATGATATTGAATATATCATGAGGGGTATCAATTCAGGAAGAAGTTGAATGTGAAAGAGAGGCTTTCTTTTTTTCCCCCGCAACGCATTTTGCGGGGGGTATTAAAATGGACTCCGTCCGTCCGTGCACATTTGTCTTTTCCGGAGCAGAACTCTAAAACCGTTCAATATTTCTTCACCAAACTTGGCACATACATGGATCTGGTGGTGTACTGGTGCCTTTTGGTAATTTTGGAATTCTGAATTAAATATTTTTGGCATTTCCATGGCAAAAAGGTCGACTTTGACTGAAATTGGTGGTAGTGCTCTTTTCCGGAGCAGAACTCTAAAACCATTCACTATTTCATCACCAAACTTGGCACATAGATAGATCTGGTGGTGTACTTGTGCCTTTTAATAGTTTTGGAATTCTGAATAAAATATGTTTGGCGTTTCCATGGCAACAAGTTCGACTTAGACTGAAATTGGTGGTTGTGCTCTTTTCCGGAGCAAAACTCTAAAACTGTTCAATATTTCTTCACCAAACTTGGCACATTGATAGATCTGGTGGTGTAGTGGTGCCTTTTGGTTGTTTTGGAATTCTGAATAAAATATTTTTGGCATTTCCATGGCAACAAGTTTCACTTAGCCTGGAATTGGTGGTACGTGCAAATTTGTCTTTTCCGGAGCAAAACTCTAAAACCGCTCAATATTTCTTCACCAAACTTGGCACATACATGGATCTGGTGGTGTACTTGTGCCTTTTGGTAGTTTTGGAATTCTGAATAAAATATTTTTGGCGTTTCCATGCCAACAAGTTTGACTTAGACTGAAATTGGTGGTTGTGCTCTTTTCCGTAGCAGAACTCTAAAACCATTCACTATTTCTTCACCAAACTTGGCACATAGATAGATCTGGTGGTGTACTGGTGCCTTTTTGTAGTTTTGGAATTCTGAATAAAATATTTTTGGCATTTCCATGCCAACAAGTTTGACATAGAATGAAATTGGTGACAGTGCTCCTTTCTGGAGCAGAACTTTCAAAACCTTTCAATACTCTCCTTCCACTTTTCTATATACACACATAAATATTTGACATAATCATAACTCGTAGACATAATCATGAAGAGTATTTTGCCATTGCAGGGGATATTGATGACTTTGTCTTCTTGTTTATTTTTTCTTGGAAATGGGTTTGATAAAATTAGTTTACATTCTTGCCTGTCTATTGGAAAAGTATTCTTCAGCATAGTCAGTTGCCACCATTTTGTAGTCCTTGATACAGGGGAGATAACAAATGTAAGAGAACAAAGGTTTGTGTCATTTTGTCAATCCATTTGTGAAGGGCAGCCTCATTAAATGATTTTAGGTGAAAGGAGACAAATAATTACAAAGTATGTTTTATGTTTTTACTTCGTAAAAAGAAACTCACAAAAGATATTGCAGTACATACCGTTTGAAAAATATATTGTGGCATACCGTGATACAGTACAGTTCTAGTTGTGATGATCACTGGATACTTGTCTTTTTGCAGTGGAAAAATACATTTTTTGGAAATAGTTTATTGTATTTTCAGGATATTTAATTGCTTGTATGATGAATACATGTAAGTCAGGAATCAATTTCAACAGGTGATGGATAAATTGCAAATGGCCAAGAATTAATGTTGATAACACTCTTGAACATAGGCTGCCTTGTCAACTGGAACATGACAGTATCAGTCATTTATGACCAAAATTATAGGCTTGGTGTTTAAGACCTCTGTTCTGCATCATGAAAAAACAAATTTATTTTTACACAACCTTGCAGGTGCTGTTTTTTATGAGACAATTCTGAAGTGAAAGTCTGTCTACTGACTGCAGTTAGGTTTTATTGCATTTCAGAAATATTTACCCTCTCATTAAACAGCGATATTTGTCAGGGCTATTTTGCCATAATACAAACAGGATTTGTTTAGAGTTTATCTACCAACCTACGTCACCAAGGTCAGGTCCAAATCCTAGTTGAGGTGACTTTCTCTTCCAAACACTGCCACTCAAACGTGACCTTTCGAAATTAAGTCACCCCTAGCCTTAGGGGGCCCGAAGGACTTTAATCATCACTTTGGCCTATTTTAGAGTTTTCATGGAGAAATGTTCCATATATAAATGGCTTTATTATGAAATAACCCTAAGGGTATTATGTTGTGTAAGGCTTGTGTTAAACTTAATGGTGTGTCGGCTTATTTACCTCTGACTAAACTGTGAAATTAGTCAACGGGTTGTAATGCATGCCTCAAGCCATGTTGGGAAATGTATGAGAGGTTAGCAAAAGCTTCTCAGGTTCTCATCAGGAATGCTCCCAGTTTTAGACTTTTTGAAAGTATTTATTTGACTCTACTGAAAATGGAAGTAATGCTCGTTTCTGGAGCCGAACAATTAAACTATTGAATATTACTTGATTGAATTTGCTTTTCAGATCGGTCTAGTGATGAACTGGTGCCTTTTGATTTTGAGGATATTTTAAAAATATTTTTTTTATAGACATTATGTGATGAAAGGTTGGACTTTACTGAAAATGTAGGTAGTGCTCATATCTGGAGCAGAATTCAGATGAAACTTGCTATACAGGTCCGTCTGGTGGTGAACCAGTGCCTGTTGATGATCTGGTAGATTAAAAAAAGCAGCATTATTTTACCTTCAGTGAACTGAAGGTACCGGTATCCAATTTGGAACCAAAAGTAGGGTGTAAATAGGCCAACTCCCTTTTTGGAGTTGCACCATAGCAACATTAAACAAAATGGTGGATGGTTAATTTAACTTACCTATCAACTTTTTTGTTCAAGCAAATACTGAATGATGTGATTTTCCTATTTATTTGTACAAGTCAATTATTTGCTACTCACCTGAATTAGAAATGTTCTTAAGAAACGGTTTCCATTGTAATGTGAAATATTTTGTGTTACAGGTAACAGAGTTAGCACCAATGAGATCCCTGCTGGAATGTTTGAAGGAAACGTCATTAAGATTGGACTTTCCCATTCCCCGATTGTGTGATTTTGCTCAACAAATTTGTGATGGAATGTCTTATCTGGAGTCTAAGCGATTGATACACAGGGACCTGGCTGCCAGGAATATCCTAGTGTTCAGTAAGAATAAGGTGAGGAGATCAGATATCGAGCTTGTCGAGCTGTTTATCAGAACTGTATCGGTGTGAGATCAGATTGCCTTGGTAGAACCTGTGCATCAGCGAAAATGGTTGCCAGGTGGTTTAAGTGTTGGTTCGTCATGCCGAAGACTTTGGTATTGCAGGGATTTATCTTGACCTGCTCAGGAGCTGTTATTTGGGGTCACGTTTGCAACAAGTATTGGGAAAGGTTGAATTCCACTACAAACTTTTTTCTCATTTCATGCTGTTTCAGTCGTTACCGATATGATGCCTTTGAAAACGGGACTTGTGTTTCACCTAATATAGAGAAAAATGCTTGAATGTTTTAGTTCTTAGTTTAATGTTATTGCATACAATAAAATGTTAGAATTCAGTTTTAAAATATCTTGAGTTTTGGCAAATAAGAACTTTCATAAAATAACAATCTTTATATATATGAAATAATAGTTTTTACCTATTTACCAGGACACTTTAGGCATAAATTATGAGTCCTTGCATTGGTTCAAAATCTTTTTGATTTTATTGCCATACTCACTCTTATTCACTCACTCACTCACTCACTCACTCACTCACTTACTCACTCACTCACAACACTCTCACTCTCAACCACTCACTCACTCCCAACCACTCACTCTCAACCACTCTCACTCACTCTCAACCACTCACTCACTCTCAACCACTCACTCACTCACTCTCACTCACAACCACTCACTCACTCTCAACCACTCACTCACTCTCAACCAAACTCACTCACTCACTCTCACCCATACCCACACCCACACCTACTCACCCACTGTAGTGGGAGTCGACTTGTATTGGTTTAATTTGTAAAGGATGTGACTGCCTTCACTGGTGTGTGTTCCTAGCCAGACCACATAGACACGATGCCCATTGAAGCTGTTGTCTTCTGTCAAAATACTAATTCCTAATTGTGAATTAAAACAATTTTCTTTCACTCTCTCCGACCCAGAGGATATGATTTAGACTCTTATACTCTTCTGATCAGCCACTGGTGGATGCGGCAGTGAAAGTGTATAAAGAATGGAAGTATCATGTAATTCTAAGATTCATTTTGGTTAATGCAAGAGAAGGTCAAACATCTGAAGCCTATACACAATGACATGTTCACAGATATTGATCTTTCTGTAACCAGTTGCTTGGTAAGACATAAAAATCACATTCGTTTGAAATATGATGAAACATGCAGTATTTGACTCTTCTGTTCCAGGTTAAAATAAGTGACTTTGGCCTTTCCCGTGCCTTGGGTGTTGGGAAGGATTACTATCAGAGCAATTTCAGTATAAACCTAAAGTTGCCAATAGCATGGTAAGTAGCGATGGTCTTCATTTCAGCTTTCAAAGAAATTCTCAGCAAAAGAGACACAAATACATTTTACTTTTCAGTGTATTTAAGTGTTCAATTTAAAATTGATGCAGAAATGTGATTGTTCCACCTCCTAGCACTGATGTAATGTAAATGGAGCCTTCAGACATGTAGCCAGTTGCTGTATGGTTGTTCATCACAATATGGCTGAAATATTGCCGATGTGACATTAAATATTAACTCACTCACTCATATATGGTTGTAAATAGTAAGAGACAAACATAATTGGACCCATCTGACATCTTGTGTCCAGAGTTATCTCCCTTAGTCATGCCAGGATCCTGTTTTTCAAGTCTAGGTACACTGTGATTTTGGTGTTTGTTTGTTCATACTGGTTGTAGGAGGTCACGAAATATGTCAGGTGGTCAGGATCTTCGACTTGTTTGATTGTTTTTCATTGTATCCAGCAATCGTTTTGTCTTGTCTTAATTATTTACAGGGAGTTGACATTTAGTTGGAATATTGTTACATGTGGCATTAAACAGTGTGGTGTTAAATCTTGTGATTCTGGTTGGAAAAAGTCACCAGTGACCAGTGCTGGTCATTTGGGAAAACGGGCGGTGGGTTAGCCTAGTAGTTAAAGCGTTCGCTCGTCACGCCGAAGACCCGGGTTCGATTCCCCACATGGGCACAATGTGTGAAGCCCATTTCTGGTGCCCCCGCTGTGATATTGCTGGAATATTGCTGAAAAGCGGGGTAAAACCACACTCACTAACCATGTGATTCGACTGGTCAGCTTTGGTGACCTGGTTGATTGTTGTTCATGCGTTGTTGGTGTACCAATCACTGGATTGTCTGATCCAGACCTGGTTGTTTACAGAAATTATATCATCACTGTTGCTTTAAAGGTAAATAGATGAAAATGTTTGTTGTTTTGTCTGTTTGTTGTTTTTGCCACACTCAGCAGTATTCTTGCTTTAATGTGACGGTCTGTAATTAATCAAGTCTGGACCAAACAATACATAAGCATCAAAGTGCCCTATTGTGATACGATGACATGTGTCAACCAAGTCAGTTAGCCTAACCACTGGATTCTGGTAGTCACCTCTGATGAATGGCTTGGTTTTGCTGAAGACCAGTTCTAACTCGGAGCTTCATGGCTCAAACGAAAAATATGTGATACCTATGTTTTAAGCCAGGAATAAAGCATCGTCAGTCAAATGCCAGGTGTAAATCCTTGTGGTTCTCTGTCTCCAGGTGTGCTCCTGAGTGTATCAACTACCTGAAGTTCACCTCCTACAGTGACGTCTGGGCGTACGGCGTTACGCTGTGGGAGTTGTTCACGTACGGCTTCCAGCCCTGGGCAGGCATGAGTGGACAACAGGTGAGTGACCCCGCACCTCGGACAGAGTTGCATGAGAGTGCAAGTGGCATGACAGCGATCAGTGTCATGTCGTCTTCCGTGTGTTCATTTCATCCTGACCTAGCTAGAAGTGACGACATTGTTAGTTTAACTTACTGTAGTAATGTCTTGGTGTGGACGTGAAAGTTTTCTTCCATCCTCGGTCATCCAGTGTTATGTCTCCACTCTGTTACTGTAAATACCCTGGAACTATTCACCATCATACCTTGTTTCTATTCTAGTCAAATGCTATATTGTGTATATTTATATTTTATATATATTATAGTTATGACAAGGATTATAATGGACAGTGCAAATAATCTGGGCCCCCGTTTCACAAAGCTATCGTACCGCTACGACTCTCGTACCTCCTATACTGCAACGTAGACTTACGACAGTCGGAGCGCTACGATAGGTTTGTGAAACGGGGCACTGGACGTGCTAACTATTATACCTTTTGTTTCTGTTTCCAGTCAAATTTCCCAAAGCTATGATTCAAAGTCAAATGAAATTGTATCATGATGACAAGGAATAGAATGTACACTGCAAATAACCTGGAACTGTTCACCATCATACCTTTAGTTTCTAGTTCTAGACAAATTTCTCAATGCAATAAATTACCATCAAATTAAATTTGATAGTTATGACAAGTAGAATGGACAACAACCCCTTGCACAATATTGTCCTGACAGGTGTATAATGAAAAACGCGTTGACCGTAATACCTTTCTCATATCACATCCAAATTCTTAACACTTCAAGACTCTCAAATTATGTGGTTCTTTAATGATTGAAACAAGGATCATTCACCACTGGACACGACCGCCTCCGTGGTGTAGTGGTTAGAGCGTCCACCCGCGGAGAGCGGAAGGTCGCGGGTTCGATCCCCGACCGCGTCATACCAAAAGACGTTAAACTATGGTTCTTGTTGGTCCCTGTCTGGCGCTCGCCATTAATGGATACAGCAAGGACTGGTTGGCTCGGAGTCAGTATAATGTGTCTGAGTGGGGTATTCATGCTTCACTGCGGCATGGTATCTCAGTGGGCTAGCACTATAAAACCAGCTTAAGTCTGGGCTAGTACAAGCAGCCGCACATACACATACACACGCATGCACGTCGTCATACGAGCGAAATATTCTCAAGCACGACGTAAAACCCAATTTCACCTCACCTCACCTCACCACTGGACAAATTTTTGTTCTGTCTCAAATAGAATTAGCAAAGTCTTTCAGAATATATACTCCCTTCCCTTTTCTTTTTACTTAACAGAAAAAAAAACATTTTTCATAGTTAAATTTGAGTTAAAACAGTTTTCATTTTTGCTTATTTATAAGCAAAAGATAACTCTTACAAGGGTGGGAATTGGAATGTAGATGTATGTCAGATTTGCCTTCAGAAGAGGTACTTTTACTGGTTGTTGGTTTTGACCTGATGAGCCAGATAATTCTATGTCATGTCCATGATAAGAAAGGTGAAGCTGGTGACATCACTTCTGAAGCTGTGGTGGCAGTTTGTCAAGCTATTGGGGTATATGTAACAGAATGGAGCTGTAATACTCTTGATAATCAAGGATGAATATTTTTGTTAAATGTCATTTCCATGTCATTGCATGTTTTATAAGTGAATACTTAACTGTATGTAGACAAGTGGTGACTCATATGTCCAGCTGAGTATTGTCATGCCAGTTTCAGAATATCATGAATTAAGCACATGTGTATATACGTGTATATCGTTTGTACAGCTAGCTGAGCCTATCATCATCCATGAATTACCACTCATGATCATTGTACATTAATATGCAGTGTAACTGCTTGCACTACTGAATGTAGATTAACAACTTGGTGTCGTTTGTGATCATCATGAGTTATATCACAAATATTTTGGGATGGTTTTGCTTTATTGTCATCACAATTCTTTATCAGAAAAAATCTTTCTATACTTTGTTTTGGTTTCATGGTCAGTTTTAAAAAAACATTGCAGAAAAATTAAAACTACTGTTTGTAAATTAAATGATTTTTTAAATTTATGAATTCACTAAAATCTAATTCTTTAAAAATTATTATATTAGCTTTTGTTTGTTTGGTTTTTTCTGCAATGTCCAGCTTTTAGACGGCGATCTGTAAACAATTGATTCTGGATCAGACAATCCAGTGATGACTTTATCGACCTATTTCGTCAGATTTGATGTTGACTAAAAGCAAAACAGGAACAGAATATATGCTTTTTTCATGTTCATTGTTCATGCTCTGCATCATTATTCCAAACACAAATGCCCATGTTTCATATCGGAATATATTGTGACGATGATTGTCTGCTTTCACAGGACCCTGCTAAGGCTGTAAGTAAACGTTTATGTGGTTAAAGAATGAAACTATTGAACATAAAGGTGATCAATTGTTCCCAATAACCATTCCTAGCTGACGAAGCTGATTACAGAGATAGAGTCCTTGTTCTAACCGGTGTAGGTTTGCATCTGTAATGTTTTTTAATGTTATGTGGATTACAACTAAAAAAGTATTTCTTTGTTTTCTGCACTTTTCTGTTGTGCTTATCAACCGCCATCATACCCATCATGCACTAATGGAAGTCATCTTTCTTCATTGATTATGTTTCAGCATTTTAATATATTTGCAAATAATGTTTAAGCTTTCGTCAATAATATGTTGCTTGTAGTGAATGTGCTAAAAGCTTTACACTACATCAATGAAAACATTTTTAATTTGTTATGTATCACATTCCAAATACGTTAAAGATTACTGAAATTTTGTCAACACGCTTTATATAGCCTGTGTTTGACAGGTAATTGGAACCCATGCAAGGCAGACATTTCAATGATTAGATAGGCTATAATTCTTAAAACAAATACTTTGGGGGTGATGGAAAAAGAGCCAAATTGAGTATGACACAACTGTCAATTTGACCAAATGCTCGGTGAAATGAGAGAAAATCCAGTAAAGATCGAAAGTGAGGCCAGAATAGGACAGATGAAAGAATAGCTGTGAAAATTATCTGAATGAATTGCTTCAATTCAGTATTGGCGCCAGGTGTGAAAAATGATGATGTTGATGATGATGATGATGATGATGATGATGATTAATGTTGTTGTGTGATGGTGGTTTATATTCGCTCCAGAGTTCACCCAACTAGACATGTAACAGTCATTTCACTTAACACATCTGTCTCTTTCAGCTTCCTGCTAGATTTTGCTTAACATCTTCATCTGAATCTTTGTGTGAAACCAGTACTTCCCCGTGTGTTTGCTACGTCACGTTTTGATATTCATACCCATCAGTCCCTGGTTTCATTTAATTTGTCTTGCATCATCTTAAACTGATATAAAATATTAACCCAGTTTAAATGAACCGGTCACTTTTAAAATCCGAACATTCAAATACCGTATTTCCTCTTGTTTTTGTCATTCATTTCTCTGCTGATGTCGAATCACAAAATAATAATGGGTAGAATTCTGTTCTTAAAGACTACATGGTGTTTATTCTTAGAGGGATGTTAAAATGACACCTGGGGTTTCTTGGTATTGTGTTTAATTGAGGAAATACGGTACAGGGATTTGGTTCAATCCCGAAACTAATCAATCCTGATAAGAAGTTTGTTTTCTTTGTGAAGATCCATGTGCAGCTTTTGATATTTGCTTTGAATTGGAACTGTGTGGTGTGTGCTAGCTCATGCATTTGATAAGCTAACAGAAAACAATTTGTAATTGTAATTAATATTTTACTGCTTTGCAGCAAAGATCTAAATAGCTTCCATGCATCATTGTTTTTCATTCCATCTATGCACTTTATCACAATGATTATATTTTCTTCAATGCATATGATTATTTTCATGTACACATACATTGGGTATCTGCCCATTTTCCTTCTCTTGAACATTTTCTTTGATCTATGACACATTTTGAGGTATTTTGTCTGGCAGAATGACCACTTTTGGTGATGTCAAGGCTCTGGTACTGAAGGCCATTTGTTTGGAAATATTGTGTGAAATGTTTCATGTTATGTTCCAACTAACTGCTTGCATGTAAATTCTTTTTGTGACATAACAATAATCTGTTGCACTTGAGAGAAGATTGTTTAGCTATATTCTGTGAGTGAAAGAGTGTGTTGCTTTTAATGCCTCTCTGAACAGTATTCCAGTTGTATAGCGGCATATTGGCTTAATATGGGAGGAAATCCAAAAGTGATGCTTCTCCCCAAAAATTACCACTTTGGTGAAACCTTTGAGTATCATGTTGACAAACCTGGAAACATTTAGGTGAACCAGGATTTGAATTCAAGGCATACCTAAGGGAGGTAACTCTTCATAACAAATCACAATGTCATCTTCTGTGAGAAGCCGAGGGTTGGTTGGTGGATTTGTTATTTAACACCGCACTCAGCAATATTCCAGCCATATGGCAGCGTTCTGTAGATAATCGAGTCTGGACCAGACAATCCAGTGATCAACAGCACGAGCATCGACCTATGCAATTGGGATACAGTGACATGTGTCAACCAAGTCAGCGAGCCTGACCACCTGATCCCGTTAGTCACCTCTTATGACAAGCATGGGTTACTGTAGACCAATTCTAACCTGGATCTTCACAGGTCAGAAGCAGAAGGAAAAGTAGAAATGAAACTGTTTGTTGATGTATGTCATGTTGGTTATTTATAGCTTGTGTATGTTTTCTGTCGAGCTTCACGAGACTGAGTGCATGTTATGAAATATGCCGTATCATCCGATTGATGTTTATGTCACTTGTTATTGTGTGTTGAAATTCAATGACAAATGTTGAGGTTCACCATAGCCACATTCGGGATGTGAATCAGTGCAGGGCAACACATATTATCTCCTGCCATTCCATGTTCTGAAAATTGAGTGGCCCTCTGATTAGTGCAATAGTGCAGTGGTAAGACGTCTGCCTATCACGCTGAAGGCACGGGTTCGATCCCCAGTGGAGGCACATTGGTTCGGAGGTGGGCACATTTGCATAGTATCCTTGAACAAGATACTTAGATCCACATTGTCTCGGTACACCCTGCTGTAAAATAGGTACCCGTGAGGATATGGTGACAATGTGTCCTGTGACCGGGGATAGTAATGTACGTAGCGCCGTGAGCAGGCAATGTGCCTGGATATGAGCAACCATATTACTATTAAAGTGTTGCCTTGTCACACTGTGGACCCAGGTACAATGTGTGAAGTCCATGTCTCCTGTCCCAAGCTGGGATATTGGGAGGATCTTAAGGGATATTCCTGAAATATTAAGGGGATATTGTATAAATCATGAAGATATTGTGGGAATATTGCTGTGATATTTATGGTGATTTTGTTGGGACATTTTGGTAATATTGCTGTAAATTTGAGGGGATGTGGCATTAATGATGGAGATATTGAAGGGGGTATTGCAGAGGTATGGATGTGATATAGTGGGATATAGATACTGTATTGATTGTAATACTGTAAGACTGCTCAGTAATATCGAAAACTGAATCGTGAAGGTTTTTTACATAAAGTGCCAAATTTCCAGATTAGAAATGGTGAGCCAGGAAACAAAACTAAATAGCAATTCATTACTAGACAGGGTAAAGTTGGTTCAGAAGGGTTTTAAGACTTTCACTCTTTGCTTCAGATTCTGGAGGCCATTGACCAGCCCAACAACCAGCGTCTTGAGAAGCCTGACCTGTGTCCAGTGGAGTTTTACGATCTGATGATGAAGTGCTGGGAGCATGAACCTGAGGAGAGGCCGACCTTCAGTCAGATCTTCCTCAAGCTGCCACAGGTTTGTTTGTTTGTTGTTTAATGCCGCACTCAGCAATATTCCAGTTATATGGCGGCAGTCTGTAAATAAATGAGTCTAGACGAGACAATCTAGCATGAGCATTGGTCTCCCGAATTGGGATACGATGACACATGACTACCAAGTCAGCGAGCCTGACCACCCGACCCTTTTAGTAGCCTCTTATGACAAGCATGGGTTGCTGAAGACCAATTCTAACCCAGACCTTCACGGGTCTGCCACAGGTAAGATGGAGTCAGACTCATCTGCCAGGGTGTTTCAACAATGATCTTTGGAGTGATGATGATGATGATGATGATGATGATGATGATGATGATGATGATGATGATGATGATCTAATGGCTTGAAATAGACTGAGACTTACACAAATCTCCGTTCATCTTCTTCCGTAGACAATGTTGCTGAGCTGCTGTATTTGTGTTACAGATCCGCCCGGTCCAGGTGAAGGCTGTCAAGGACTACCCCCAGGTCACCCTCGAGAAGGACCACCTCTATTACAAGTCTTACGATGTCATTATCGCACTTGATAAGAAGTGAGTTGCGCACAAACCTTATTTGAAAAAAATATGATGAAGTACATCTGACCATCTGAGGTCTGATCCAAAATGCGACCTTTGCCCTGTGTTAAGTTTGAGATTTGAAAGTTGTAACATGGAGTTGTCTCTATGGAACAGATTGGTATTGTATCTGTACGCCTTTTGTTTTGAAAACAAAGGCTGATTACTTAATATACAGCATGGAAACTGTTCTCTTTGTTGTACAGTCTTATTCTTCAGAGATTTATCTTGACCTTCTCTGAGTCTGATCTTTGGCAGCAGATCTGCAGCAAGTGTTTAGTATGGAATACAGGTAAAGCTCCTAAATTTCTTTAGTCTGGTCTGAAGAAATATTGTTGGATCTAAAATTTGGTGTTGCAGTTTTGTTCTGAATGGATATGTTCGATACTTACACTACTGCTGCTGTTTCTGTTGATGGCGATATTGATGTTAAATTATTTTGTATTTCAGACCTTCAGATGCCCCCAGCATTGGATTGTGGAAAGGAGCTCTCAACAATGGCAAAAGTGGTTACTTTGACCCCACAAACACAGTACCCTTCATTGAGCCCAAGACAAGCCCCATCTCACTACCTAAGACAAACCTCACACGGAAGGGTGAGTCACTTTTCTGTATTTCCTTGGATATATGGCCTTCAATAGAAATGAAAAGAGCCCACTTGATGAAGGCTGGGAGGCCAAAAGCTTGAGACCATGTATATTTAAGTATTTATGGGCAGGTTTTGAATTTCCCATGAATATTAATGTATCATTTTTATGTCACAGGTACTGTGTATCTAGAGATGATGTTTACACTACGAACAGATCATGCTCAGACCACAAGAATAAATGAGGTCAAAGATCAAATTTCCATTGAGAAAATCTTGAAAGAGCTGCTGTTAATCACAAATCTATTCAACAGCCCTAATGGCAACCAAATCAACTGAACACCACCACAATGCAATACAACACAACACCACACAATATGTACCAGGAACCAGTTGATGCAGGAAATGCTCCTTGTAACTCCTTTACAAACAAATACCACAGCAATCACTTCAGCATACTTCAGCTTACTTCAGCATCAGCATCACTCGCACACGTCAGTGGATGAGGATGGGTGAGGGACTTTCAGGACAAATTAACTGTGCATTGTACACAAGATTGTATTCTCGAGAAAAATTCTGTACACAAGTTTGAAATAAGTATTTGAGGTAAGTGTATTAGAACTCTTGTGAGCAAACTTATTTTTGTGAACTTTGTTTCTACTTGTAGAATCCAGCAGGAAGTCCAGTCGTAAGCTGAGGCTTGACATGATCAGTGGCCCACAAAACGACCTGCGACACACGGGGCATATCGGCTATGACGGCGCCGTGTTTGGAGACGTCGGCTTCATTGGGGAGGCCTACGACAAACTGCCTGCACGAGGTACCAGCATTCATCTGTCTCGTTCATCTGGTGGTATTAGTGATCTCAGGCTATTTATCTCAATGCTGGATAATTATATTTAGTGTACTTGCATGTAATGCAGAGATTCGGAACATTTTTGTCAGCGAGGCGTGGCATTGTGTGTACATCAAAAGTACAGCTTCGTGACGTCAGTCGAGACTTAATTTTCGAGCTAGCATGATAATTTCCGTGATCCACGAATCAAGGTTATCAACGAATTTAGGTTACAGTTCTATATACATAATAAATCTTCTGGATAATCATCGTCAGTTGTGTGTTATCATTTCTGGCATGCAACATTACAAGAGTGCTGGTCATTATATATATACTGAAATGTTAAAGGCTTGGAAGTGACGAAAAAGTTAACATATTTGTTACTCATTCAACCCACATGTAGATATTCACTATGATCCATGTGAGAGTTTCAGTCAGGATGTGAGAGTTAAGAAATTCAATTTCTTCTGGCAATATTTCAGGCAAATCAGGTGACGAGAGTGTACGATCATCTATGACGTCAATCGATCATCGGGACAGTCCTGACAGAGAAGGTTACAGGGGAACCAATGGCTATGGACATTCGTGGTGAGTGAGCTGTCGGCCACAGCAATGTGTAGCTTCAGTGTACTGCAACCTTACACTTTGTATTTAGTGGTATGAATCTTCCCTGGGTTAGAGTTTTCCCCCTTGGAAGGTTTAGTTTTGTACTGTGGCCATGCACATGGCATCATGGTGGTTGGTCACAGCCATTCTTCTGTCTGACATTTCCATCAATGATCATTCAGGATACACAAAAGACATCACACCAGATACCCACCACGGTGCCAGACCCGTGAAGATCTGGGTTAGAATTGGTCTTCAGTAACCCAGTCTTGTAAGTGGCAAGTTATGGGATTGGATGGTCAGGCTGGATGACTTGGTTGGCACATGTCATCGTTTCCCAGTTGCATAGATGGTTGCTCATGATGTTGATCACTGGATTGTTGGGTCCAGATTCAGTTATTTACAGACCGCCGCCATATAGCTGAAATATTACTGAGTGTGGCGTTAAACGACAATCAATCAATCAATCACATCAGTTCAATATTCCCAACCATACGTCAACTGAATAAATAATCACAGTGGACAAGTATCTGTTTCAGATTTCTTGTGTTGTGTGTTGAAGCTAGTATGAATGTGTTCTACAGAATAATGTCCCTCTCCACCAGAACTTTTGATGAGAAAGATGCGTTTGGTGTGTTGCCACGAGGGAATAGGGGGGTAGGCAAGTGGTCAAAGTGTTTGCTCATCACGCTGAAGACCCGGGTTCGATTTCCATGGGTACAATGTGTGAAGCCCATTTCTTGTATCCCCTGCCATGATATTGCTGGAATATTGCTGTAAGCGGCGTAAAACCAAACTCACTTACTGTAGCCGTGAGGTAGTGTCTGTATGTGTCGTGATGATGATGCCAGCACTCTGTGTGTGCAGGATGAGCTCCGAATCCCTGGACAGTCACCATGGTGAAGACCGACAGTATCAGGATATTGATGATGACGGTATTCTTGGTGACTTCAAGATTCCAGATCTCACAGTGAGTTTTATGTCAGAGTTCAGATGATGAAGCAAAGATGATGTGTAAATCACGTAGCTTGTGCGGGAAGGTAAGGAAACCTGAACGTTAAACTCGTTGAGCGTACCGGGCCATCTTTCCGTTTTTCCCAGCTGGAGACTGGGGGAGTGGTTTCGAAGCAGAGGCTGGCTAGGTCCATAGCTTACCTGGTCCAGTTCTAACCTGTCATTAATAGTTCTAAAAGCTTTTGTAGGTGATAGAGATATGTCAGACAAAAAGTGAGATTCTGACAAATTGTTTATTCAGTATTTGTTTAGCCAGTCTTCATGAGGAAAGTTGACGTTGAAAGCTTAGATTAACCCTCAATTCCTTTTTGAATCTTTCAGAAGCTTTAATTTATATCCTTTTATTATTGGTTATAGGATGCTTAGAAACTTTGTTGTTTTCTTGCTACTCATATGAATAAGTGTAAAACATCTCACTATCTTTTATAAAACAATATATGTACATGTGATAACATTCATTCTCTCTTGTGTTGTGTGAAGCCCATTTCTGGTGTCCCCTGCCGTGATATGGCGGGAATATTGCTAAAAGCGGCGTAAAACTAAACTCACTCACTCTCTCGTGTTATTGCAAGAAACAGTCACTAAGGCCTCACAGCACGGTTAATAAAGGTAAATAACAGTTAATAATTTTCCATCTTGTTCTTCCTCCAACAGAGCTCCCTGGATCTGGGCCCATCCTTCATGGATGAAGTGCTCCGGGCTCTGGACGAGAAGGAGAAGAAACTGGAAGGAAGTTCCGCAGAGCCATCGCCTAGCAACGGAGGTAGCAAACTGGATGATCTGACGCTTAACGACTTCGATCGCAGTCGATCAGTGTCCCCGGGCGGCGAGGGAAGACCTCCGCCGTTACCAACGTCACCACCTCGAGTGGTAAGGGTGTGCTGTAGCTTGTATAGAACTTCCTCATAACATGACAAGTTTGTTTTGTTTTTCACTCTTCCTCATTTCTACAATAATCACTTTGATCATGTTGATAGACTTCCTTGTGAACTGTCTCCCTTTCTCTAGCCCAGTACATTATGATGACAGATATGCAGCCTGACCTAACCATATCAGCATTTATTAGTCAAAGTTTCAGGATACCTCCATCATCTCTTTTATGACAGCGAGGTCTTTTTTTAAACCTGTTTGGAGGTAATGTAGTCTAATGATAACAGTTTTAACCAGTCTCATCCACATTAGCAGCACCCTGACTCTTTCCTGCCTGCTCATAATGTAGTGTAATGCAGCAAGAAAATGTGGACAGATCAAAGAAAAAGTGGTGGAACAGTGATTGGTTAATCTTATGAAATCAACAACCCCATTTTCACAATATCATTTGGACATCTATATTATTATTTATTATAATCTGTATTATTACATATCCTTGCTTTTTACCCATGTAATTCGGTATTAGACGTTACCTTGATGTAAAAAGTGTCCATTTTCATAGTGAGGCAGGCTTTGGACTCTATTAGAACTCTTCTCTGAAGGTGCTGGGAGAGGTTTCTGTACTTCAGCCCAAACCTGTATTCCATGGCAAAAAAATCTAAATTCTGCAGAAATGTTGTCTTATTTTTCGTCCAGCTCTGCACAAAATCCTAAAACATTCAAGCTAAGTTTTTGTGAATTTTCTATATTTTCGACTTATGGCAGGTTCATTTCTTAGAAATGTATCTATGGCTGGTATATTTTATTAACGTGAATCTTGCCATCACTCATGAGAACCTACATGCATGCATTTTTGGTAAACGGTAATACAAAAGTCATCGTCACTGATTTTTTATATATTGTTTTCTTCTTTCCATGTACACAAACACTTCGCATGATCATTCAGAATGATGTAATTAGTACAAAGTAACATGCAAACTATTGACTGTTAGTTTCAGTAAATTTAGTCAACTTAAATACATTTAGAAATTTTTGACTTGTATGTTATAATTCTGCAGTGCATTTTAATTCAACTTCAGAATTAGGCAAAATTCTGCGGAAAAAGTATTTTTCTGCAAGATAGGAATATTTCTGCAATTTGTGGACATTTCTGCAGAATTCAATGGAATACAGTGCAGACTGATGCCTGCATTTTAATTCAACTTCAGAATTAGGCAAAATTCTGCGGAAAAAGTATTTTTCTGCAAGATAGAAATATTTCTGCAATTTGTGGACATTTCTGCAGAATTCAATGGAATACAGTGCAGACTGATGCCTGCATGTGTTGGATATCCAGCTTTGGGGATATGTTTGTGCATGTTCCATATAATCAAGTTTCTCCAGGTTCCAATTCTCAACAAAGTATGCCATAGCTAGTGTAACTGCAGTTATGAATGTAAAGACCATATTTTGGGAACCTGTCATTATGGAAATATGAAAAAAAATCAAACTTTCATTGGGAACATGTGCATTTTAGCTTCTGGTGTCGGTACTGCATTTACATATAAAATCTTCCAGATAGAATCATCGATTTCCAGAGTTCCTGGATATTTTTGCAGAAATTGTTTTGAAGCAAAACTGATGTTAGGTGTTTTGGCTAATTGGTCAGATCTACTAACTCTGTGATCAGAAAACTGGCCATACAAATATACTTCTTAGATATTCCTAGTTTGAATCTCATCAATGTGTGATTAGATTCTTCACTTTTCTAACTATTTCCATTAACACGTTTTTGAATTCTTAATAACAATTTCATTGGTGAATTTGCGTTTTTCAGCGAGCTCTGGTTCTTGGTGCTCCGTGTTGCTTTCACTTCTCTGCACTTTGTTCTATTCTGCTTACTGTCTTAAAACAGTCACCAGAAAAATGCTATCATTTCAGGAACCTCGGCGCGCTCCGATAGTCGTTCCGAACCTAAAAAGCAAGCCAAGGTGAAACCAATGTCGGCTTCAGATGAAAAAATGATGGAATCAGCCATTGCACTTGCGAACGAATTCGCTTCTCAGAATCAGAAGAGGGACAGTCAGAGTCCGCCAACATCCCCAACAACTAAGACAGAAAAGAAACGCACAGAATCGGAGAGTAGTAGTGACTCTCCAAATCTCATGTCTAAGTTGAAAAAGATTTCGATTAAGGTAGTCCTAAACAAGAACGCAAAAGGACGTTTTCTGACGATATGAACAATAGGGGCGACTTAGATGGCGAACTCCCACCAGAGGCTCAAGAGGCCTATAACATGTTGGTAGTTCGTGGAACATGCAAAGATAATGATGAAAGCTCTGATAATAGTCGCCAGTCGCCTGAGAGAGCATCACCAGCAAGTGATGCTGTGTTTTCTAGTTCCTCAGAGATCCAATTAAGTCAGCCTAAGCCTTCTCCAACTGCTTCTTCTGTAAACTTCCGACCCCCTCTTCCAGTGACAGAACCCAGACCCCCTCCGCCTAAACCTACCCCAAGGCCACGAATTGATCCAAAAAAGTCTGAAATCCCTGTTCCTCGACCTCGACCTGAGGTTGTTCAGAGAGTAGAACCAACACAAATAAACCGAGTGGAACCCACTCCTAGAATCGGTGTCTCCATGTCTGTTGACGTCCCTGAGACGAAGACTGAGACGAAGACAGAAAGCAGTATTCCTCATTCTGTGCAGAGGCAACAAAGTTTACCTGAATCAAAAAGTCGGGAGAGAGAGGAACTGAAAAAAACAATTGAAATCGTGCGTGTAGATTCCCCTCGGAAGGAGGAGAAAGTTGAGGTTAGTGCAAGCAGTTCAGAGGACTTGCCATCGAAATCAGACAGTGAAACTAAAGAAGCACCGAAGTCTTTCTTCGATGAGGATTTCAGTGAACCGTCTCCACGGGAAATTATGTCCAAGTTGCGTGAAAAGCGAGTGACCAGATCACTGGATCACCAGCGAGGAATGTCAGGAGATGGTGAGGCACCTCCTACACGGAGTCTGCGGGAACCTCAAGGTATTCCTGGGAAAGGACCATCAGCACCAAGCACTCCAGCAGAAGAGGAAGAAGTTGATACAAATCCATTACGCATGCTTAGAGGAGGTGCGATACCAATTCGCACAGGACGTGGTGCCCCAGGTACAAATACAAAGCATTCTCTCAGATATCCTAAGTTACAATTTTCAAATCCACAGTTTCAGCGGATGATCAGCGATCCCGGAGACAGGTGGAGACAACGACATTTTATCCCTGACCCAGACGTTGCTCCGGCTGTTCCGCCCCGGACATACAGCTGCAGCGACAGCGACAGCAAAAAGAACAACACTGTTCCTCTGCCACCCAGAAACCCTCTGAGACCATCAAGTCTCAACGCTAGGCCGCGGGAGAGAAAATACCCGCTTTTGCTCAGCCCCCAAACCCCAGGTCGCACTTCTTTCTCATACTCTGTATCGTGTCGCCAGCCTTCCTCGTCATCCCACGTGCATGAGCCACCCCCTGACCTCCCCCCAGCCCCTCCCACTCCTCTCCATCAGGAGTTTGATGCAGACGATGATAACGTATTCAGTTCATCAAGTCCGCCTAGGTCACCGTTGCTAAAACCAGTCCAACGGCCAGTAAGAAAGTATTATCTCAGTAATGTCCAGTGCAGTCTAGATCAATTGGGATTTTACAACAAGCAGGATCCATTTTGGGTGCAGACAGTGGTATTACCAGAAAGGAGCTACTCTGATAATGAGAGTTCTGAGGATGTCTCCCCACTTCTCCTAGTTAACTACAAGAACTCAGAAAATGTCAGCTACGAAGATTTACTCGACTTTGCGCTTGATAGGTAATTTGACGTAGATATATAACTTAACATATATTAATCGCCTGAGCAGTGAGAGCATAGGATTGTTAAGTACCAATATGGCAGCCACATTTGGAAACATTTAGACAAGCAAATGTCCAGAATCTCTGAAACTGAAATAGGGGCGGTGAGATAGCCCAGTGGTTAAAGCGTCACTTGTCACTCCGCAGGACCGGGTTCGATTCCTCACATGGATACAATGTGTGAAGCTGGAATATTGCTAAAAGTCTTTAAAACTCAACTCACTCAGTGAAACTGAGAATGACAATTTGTTTGCCATATTGATACATTAACTGACCTGAGTAGGGAACAAGAGTGAAACTTACTGGCTAAAACTTGCTGTATTCTCTGCTTCTGCATCTGCTAGATGGTTTCGGCCTGTAGATATAATACCTAGTTGAGGGTTGGCAACTGAGAGCTTCATATAATCTCTGCATGAAACGGCCAAGTGGGTCTCAGTTATAACTTGCTTGATAGTCTAATTCTTCAGATCCTGCGCTTTTGGTATTTATTTCGTGATTTCCGAAATGCTTCCAGGTAGACTGATGTCAAGGAACCAGTAGTTATTGAAAACAGTCAACTTGCGAAAATGTTTGTGTTTTTTGTGGACCATACTACAGTAGATTGTTTCCAGGGTTCCATTTCACAAATCAATCTCATCGCTACGACTCTCGTAGGTCTACATTAAAGCATAGGAGTTATGATAGTCACAGCGCTACAACAGTTTTGTGAAATTGGACCCAGTACATCATCAGCACTCCTAGAGCTAAGACTGTCATAAATTAACAGACCTACAATATTTCTCAGTGCTAAGACAACTTTATGTTCAGGGTCACAGATCTCAGCCCTGAGCCACAAAGTGGTCTTAGTGTTGAGATCTTCGTAGTTCACACACTTTAATGTACACTTATGACAGTCTTAGCAATAAGATCGCAAAGGGTCCTGGGTCCAATCTATACATGTTCAGTTATAAATGAAATGAAATTTATAACTTTATTATGTTCAAAATTTATGCAACACATAGACATAGGAGAGACTATTTATTACAATTTGAAATGAAATGAATATATTTATATATGAAAGTTTATTATGATAATAAGTTGCATGAGCATGGAAGTTTTAGCCAGTCAAAATTTTCTTTTAGAACTGTTTGATATTTATATCTGTCTGATCAAATATTTGTTTTGACACAAAAGCCATAAATTTGAAATCCCAGCAAGGTACTGTAATTTATTCACAAATCTGAAATAGTCCATTCCAAGGTAATCTCATGATGTATAATCTAACCATGTTTTACTAAACGTAGAAGATTAGCGATCAGTAATACTCCAAATTAACACTGGTAACTTTATATCAAATAGGATTCAATGTTTCATTGTACTAATTTTAATTGAATCAATTCATTGCAGAGTTAAACTGACTCATTTAAATAATAATTTCAATAATTGGGTGTAGTTCGTTTTAAGTAACACTGTGTTATGAATATTTACTAAACTTAAATTGACATTGAAGTGAGGTAAATGGTAAACAGGAACTCTCTGTGGTACTTTACCAAGGAGTAAAAATGCCAGGGGTTGAAAATCTCTCATAAATATTAGACTTTGACATTTTATATATTTGCATGCCTTTTCTTATGTCGTTTTCTCATTGAGTGAACTTGTATGAATATAAAGGTTTGAGCATCAAATATTCATTTGGGATCAAATTTTGAAAGTGACAGTGATAGTATACTTGAAAAAAAAGATGAAAAAATAGTTTAAAGTTAACTTACGATGAAGACCATTATAAATAGTGTACTCAACTGATTTGAAAATAGCAATTTTGGACATCTACAAAAAATATTTGCCAAAAAATATTTAGTCTCTATTATCTGGTAAAACAGATGCCTTTGGGCATAAGAAAGTCAAACAAGAGAGGTTTTTTTCCCCCTGGCAAAACATTTGAAATGGGTTACTTTAATCTCTGTATTCTTTGCAAAACAAATAACCATCGTTATTTTACTCTTTAATATAATAGTATAAAGGAGGTACCATTGAAAGGAGATCTAATCTTTGTAAGATGACAGTAAGTTTTGCAGCTCAGACAAGATGGTTTAAGCATATAGTCAGGATATAGATGTACAACCATGTTATTACCTGATGAACTGTTGGTGGTAATTTCTGTCAGTTTCCTCGAGACAATGATAAGCAATGATGGAGAGGTGAGGACAGCATGTTGATGTTGTTGTGTAGAAACTTCCGTTTTCTTTCTGACGATGCATCAGACTGTGTTGCTTGTTTCAGAGGACTAAAACCTTTCTTCGTGTCATGACCTGGCGGAAATAATGTATTTTAATTTTTTCTTGATTCTAATACAAATCTCCAGAGAGCCCTGACCTGTTTAACAAAACAATATTAGAGCTATGGTGATCGTAAGCTATTCAAAAAGGGTGATATGATCATCTTTGCATTGACATTGTTTTGTATGGGTCTGTTTTACAAAGCTACCTTAGCTATAATTGTCAAAAATCTTTGTTAAAGTATTGAAGTACACAGCATTGTAAAATGGTCATGTTATGATAAAGGCTCAGCTCTCTATGAAATGAGGTCTGGAGTGTTCGGTTTGTCTTGAAATTGATCCAAGAAAATCACAAACGTTAAAGTTAACGGAACATTTTCGATCTGCATCTGAAACAAGCTATACTGACAGCATGTAATCTTTCTTATGTTTCATTTTGAATGGCATGGAAACAGTTCGTTCTTAATAGGGAATGTTTAGTTTGGAGTGTAAAATTACTAGTCAGCACTATTTTTGTTTCTAGCCCTTTTGCTTATTTCACATTGCATAGAATTTTCTTCTGCACATGGTCTGTCGTTTAGTTTTTGACGTTCTGTTGGATGACAGCTGAGAATTTGTTTGAAACAGGTTGTTCATTGCAAAACTTTATGTATGTATGTATGATCTGTTTAAGTCATTACAAGTTTTAAGAAATGTTAAATTATGCTTCAATTTAAAAGAAATCTGGATGATTTTAGTATTTGGAATCTAAGTTTCTTCTTTACGCATCTTCACATAGAATGACTCTTTTGTTCTAATTCCACCCTGAACATGCCAACATTCATAAGAACATGTACCTTTACGTTCAGACCTCTGCAAACAATAGAAAAAAATATGTTATTTACAGCTGGAAATCTTACTTAAAATAGTATTTGAGAATTTTACCCTGAACTCACTTGATATAAAGTCAGGAATCATGGTAATCATAAATCGATACTTTCCGTACAATTCCTGAGGAATAGGGACAAATTCTCAGCTGTGGGTGTTAGTAGATATATTTTGGTTACTTCTTCAGAGCTATTACCCCATGCGGCTATTATCACTCATGTCGTACATCTATCTGTCATGTGTACTACCATCCACCACTATCATCACTCAAGTCACGCATTTGTCATGTGATCTACCATCTGTCACTGTCATCTCTCATGTCGTACATCTATCCGTCATGTGTTCTACCATCATCTGACTATCATTGCTCATGTCATACATCTATCCGTCATGTGTCCGACCATCCGCCACTATCATCACTCTGTCGTGCCTGTCATGGGTTCTACCATCTGTCACTATCATCTCATGTCATGCATCCATCTGTCATGTGACCTACTGCATGTCATCCTCCTCACTCGTGTCATGCTACTGGCCATGTGTGATTACCCACAAGTCTTTCAACTGGCTGGTAATGTTGCAAAGGTACACGAAGACTGGGTTTGTGTTCCGGCAACAAGTGTTTGTCACAAATGGATCTTAATTGACACATTTGATTCAATTTGACATGTATGCTTTTCTTGAAAGTGTTTCACTCGATTCATTTTGTAATTACTGTAACTCTTTCCGAGGACAATGTGCTGAATATGTTTCATTGGATTCTTTGTTCTATTTCTTGTACATGAACCTGTAGAAGAGTCATTTCCTGTTACAATCAGGGGAGATAATCACTTGGATCATGCACAATTCATTTCATTTGTACATTTGTTATTTGTAATATTTCTTGGTTTTAAAGATACTTTAAGTTAAAGATTCTTTTTACAAAAGGGTCATAGATTGAAACTAAACACAAACAAAAATTGCAAAAAAATTATTTTTAATTTTGACAAATTGACTTATGCCTTGTACATATAGAAATGATTTTCCAGTTGAGTTAAGTGTAGTTTGACTGAAATAGAAATGTTTTCATTTGTCAGAATTGAATGATATTTTTTAACATTTTGGCCATATCCAGCATATCTTTAAACCAGGAAATAAACACTGTCTTTCATTGTCATGACCTTGTATCTGACACACTAAGTTCATTGCAAATCAGATTCTGCATTTGCTCAAGCAGTGTGGCATGTCAACAAAGAAAGGGAATTATAACTTGCTATCATTTCTCTCCTGATCCCCATAGGAAAATGAAACAGATATGATTATGAAAAAGCTTTATACAAGCTAATTTATTTTCAGGAAAAGAATAATTCATAGGACAGACAGAGAAACACAGGTCATAAGCATTGTATAATCATTCATAACATGATTTTTGATACATTCTCTCCACCCCATTCAACTCTTGTAAATTCTTACAGGTGTATGTGAAACATGAGGATGTTTGAGGCTAACAAAGCTATGCATGAAATACCAATATATATACAAATATATAGATACACATATATAATACTAATCATCATTATTCATGATTTGTATGTATTTATCATTTTCAATATCATTCATTATTTCTTGTTCACCATCTGTTGGATTTTCTGTTGGTTGTTATCTTGGGAATATTTATGTATTGAATAACAGGGGGTTTTCTGAATTCATTATTGTTGGTATAGCTTCTTTACAAATTTTGGATTGGTTGATTCTGATATTTGACAATTATTAATAGACTTCAAATCTTGGAGATTATGGTATCTATTGACATCCTTTCTTCTTTTCAACTTGTTCCTTGACATCCTTTTCTAATTAACAATGTCGCCATTATCTCACACACATTGTCATTACACACACATTGCATGCCATTTTTCCCCTGAATGAACGAATGGCTACAACAATTTTTTGTGCCGTGATATTGCTGAAATATTGCTGAAAGTGGCATAAAACTATACTCACACACTTTTATCGGTCTGACAGCAAACATAATGCACCAGATTCAGGTGCATTGATGCACACTATTTTTTTACAGAAACCTCCAGTGTAGAATGGGTGTATGATTTCCTGTTTCTTTTTTTTAATCATATTTTATTGTCCATAAAGACAAAGGGATTGGGGACAAGTGCACCACATATCGTCGCCTTCTCCCCATGTATATAATTTCCTTGTACCGGTATCTATTATCGAAAAAGTTTTAGTTTTGTTGATGTTAGAACTTTGTTAACGCTGTTTGATCTCTGAAAACATTTTACTTATTTTATGGTTTTAATTAGACACCCATTTCCAAAACTCTCCCTACATTCTTGTAATGGCACAATATGAAGATCTTTCGTCTCGTACCCACTTAGTTGATATACAGCAGCCATTGTCACCACCTAATCCCCATTTCCGTTAACTCATCCTGAAGCCCTACATTTCTGGAGTCACCCGTCATAATATTGCTGAAATATTGCTAAAATCGGCGCAAAACTAAACTCACTCACTCACTCATCCTGAAGTCCGGGACTCGTTATAATCACATACAAATGCATAACACCATCATTGAGTAATCTTGATATATATGCATCATGCATGACGTGTATACTAGCTGTTATCATCTTCATCACGTGATATGCATCAATGAAATGCAGCACAGCATCTAGTCGCTACCAGCCTGCACAGGTCGACCTGTCCGACGACGCCTTGACATCTGTTTTACACAGTAGCATGCGTCCCTGACTTTAAAGTTCCCAGATAACTCTGGAAATATATCTATGTCAATCAAGTTTGCATTGTTTCGACTGATCGACGTGGAACATGACAGGTTTCTCTCTGCATATTGGTAATTTATTTACAGACTGTGGGATTGTTAGTGTGAAGATGTTATATTGTAGATGGCTACTGTCAACCTTGGTTAAATATTTTACTTAATTTAACCTTGGACACATCCACTCGCGGTTGGGTAGCTTAGTGGTTAAAGTGTTCACTCGTCTCGCCAAAGACCCGGGTTCGATTCCCTACATGGGTACAGTATTTGAAGCCCATTTTATGTGTCCCCCGTCGTGATATTGCTGGAATATTGCTAACAGCGGCTTAAAACTAAACTCCTCACTCACTCATGCAAAACAAATTACAGTAGTGACTGCACAAGACTCTGAAAGATGTGTTTACAGACTCAAATCATAGTTCTTCTAAATGAGATGCTTGAATATTTATTAAGTGCACAATTTGTTGAGGCAAAATGTCCACACAACAAAAACTACCTTGCAAATTTTGACAATGCAACTTGACATCTTCAACTGGCTCACTCATGTTCCAAGGGAGATAATCCCAGTCCAAAGGGAGATAACCCTATCCTTTCCTTTGCCCTTTCCCCAGTGATTCAGTCAAACATTCTGTCAATGTCAGCTCTACTTCACAAGTTAATGGAGGGTGAAAACTTTACCTTTTTTCTGACTTGGTAAATGTCAGCATTCTTCTTTTATGAATGTCAGTGAGATTTTGACAAGATCCACTGATTGGCTGGTTAGGATTACAAAGTTATGATTATCATAACGATGCTATCATCTGTATTAGGAGGTCATATTCCATTCTCAAATAACACCATGCTTTGAGAATGCTGTTGAATTGTACCCTGTGGCAACAGCGCTGTTTTGATGATATTAATCAGCAGTTGATACTAAGTGTTGATAGCTTTTCCATACGTTGGGCCTGCTACTTCAGCTCTAGTTGAGATATTTTCTTGAAGATAATGTTTAACTTCTTTTGTGATGTAAAATATCAAGGATGATACAAATATTGGAATTTTGAAGGGGAGGGCATTTAATGTTTCAACAATGTTTAAATATTTTTTTTATTTTTATGAATAGTTTTATTAACAGCAGTAGTGTTTCTTTTTCTTTTATCGCACAAAAACATCCTTGATATTTTTACAGTGATTGTTTTTAAACTTTTTAATTTGAAATTATGACTGACAACTAAGAATCTAAAATGTATTTTTAATTGTACATAGGAGCTTATTATGATTATGATGTGAGAGCATGAATAATGTTTTAGAAGTGAACATGGTACTTAGAGTAAATTAGATAGAACTTTCATAGCATGGTAATATTAGCTAACCTGGTAAATTATTAAATATTATATTCTTACTGCATCACAGGCACAGCTTGTTGTTGAGACAGTAGAGATGCTCATGTTTCTTAGTTTTAGATAAATTTTACAAAAAGTGAGATTTTCATATAATTGTTTACTCTTGAATAATATTGATACTTATTATGATAAAATGTGTTTTATTGATGTATGTTGAACATCATCTGATCTGATATTGTTGTTTAATCAGAGTCCTGTGTTTTGTTTTTTCAGGGAGAAGAATTGCGAAGAGATAGACATGCTGCAGAGAATATTTTCAACAGAGGTAACTGGGATTACAGAATTTACCGTAACCATTTTATTAATTTTTTGGAGTCTTCCATGAAGGTTGCATCCCTTCGTTGTAACAGGATCTGCTGATCATATACTGCTCTATTGTCTGCACTATTCCCATGATGTGATTATTTGATTCAGTTAATTGGTAAACGCAAACTTGCTGTGATATACCGTATATGACTGTCTATAAGACGGATAAGACGACCCCCAAACTTGTTTTAAGCAGCATTCATGTTCACACTTTCACGTCTGCATGTTGAACTTGAATATGCCGTGATTGCATTAAAGTTAGGTTGGTTATTTTGTTGTAGGTTGTTCAGATAAAAATGTCAAAACCCTCTCTAAAGAGGAGTGGGATAACCTAATAGTTCACTTGTCACGCTGGGTTCGAGTCCATACACATGGATACAATGTGTGAAGCCCATTTCTGGTGTCCCCCGCCATGATATAGCTGGAATATTGCTAAAAGCGGCGTAAAACTAAACTTACTTACTCGAGTCCATACATGGGTGCAGTGTGTGAAGCCCATTTCTGGTGTCCCTGTCGTGATGTTAATGGAATATTGCTAAAAGCGCATGAAACCAAACTCGTTCACTCACTCACTTTCTAAAGAAAATCAACTGAAAGAGGAACCAGTTGTACAATACTGATTTTTAATGAGCACGTTTATGAATCATTATCGAATATTAATGGCACCAGATGTTAGCGAAAAAGCTGAACATATTCTGCCTCATTGTTTGCTCCAATCAGAAATGCATGCAAAGGCAGGTTAATTGCTTCTGATAGTTTAGACTAGGCTTGATCGTAACAAGTTTTCCATCTCAGTTTTCATCATCATCATCATCATCATCATCATCATCATCACAGAGATGAGAACTTTCCATGGAACCGCTGAATTCCGTGGATTTCATCGCTCTGTGGTCATTCTTGTGAATCGTCTAGACATGTGGCCCCCAACACCCCTGGCTCATTTTCTTCTTTTTTCACTCATATTCATTCTCATCCCTGTCATCATCATCACTGCTGCTGCTGTTGTTGTTACCTGTTGATATTGTTATTATCATTATTAATGTGTTTTTCATCTCCAGGTGAGTGTGGCTGAGTGTATGAAAGCATTGGAACTGACCAAGTGGGACATGCAGAAAACCATCAAATACATCAAAATGAAGCAGCTCCTGAGTCTGCAACTTGCAGACGTACATCGATGTAAAGCTGCACTGATGATCTCATCGTGGGACGTCCCCCGAGCTGCTGACTTCCTACTAACTCACCCAGTACCTAGTCCAGAGAGTCTCGACGTTTGACCTTCACCCTGTGTTGGAGTTAACGAGTTAATAAGTGTCGCAATCCTGTTGGATTTAAGGAATTAATTACGTGTGACTTGCAACTGATGTTTGCGCCAACTGTTTCGTAAGTGATCTGATTAATGTGGTGGCGATTCCTTTCGGATGGAGAAATATACAGGATGATCGTTCTTCCATTGTGCTGCATGGATCATGCATCACCAAAACCACACAAGTTATCCTTCTATTTCGAGAAGAATAAGTATTCCTTCGAAGGATAAACACGTAGTGGCTGTTGTCAAGACTGTTGCATCCCAAGAAGTATCAGGGATGGAAGTATCAGCAATTGACATCAAAGATGAAGAAGACTTTCATTAGAGGATCCTCACAGAAATACTTCCACTGCAATGGCAACGCCCTCAGTGCTGAAGTTTGGATCAGATACACTATTATCAATGAGAATGTCAACCATACGTCTAAGGCATTAACAAACTTAATATGTGAATGTGTTTTAAATATTTCTGATTAACAGTTTTATGAAATTTGACATCACTGTTACAGCAGAAGTTAGATTTTCCATTAACTGTTGGTTAATACATGGGTGAAAACAACATAGTGCTTATAAATAGTTCTCGCGCACTCACATCAGAAAGTTCCGAATACGGAACTTCATCTTGCACATTCTGCAAAAATTGGAATTATACAGGAATTGATTTACCATCAACACTTTTCATCAACAAGCTTGCTACATACAGTGAAATCAGCATCACAGATGGAAACGACATCATGCTGGAGGAAAGTGCTTGTGTCTTTGAAAAATGGTAATTGGCATCATGACAATGGCACAGTTCCATCTTCACATCTTCAGCATCTTCAGCCTGACATCATCACCGGTACTGAGATCACGGTGGACTATATGTAGGCTGTCTTTCAACTGTATCACATCTATATTTCATATCATGGTTAATGTGTGTAAAATACTAACAAGATTGGAACATATATTAGTCAATTTCTACCAAGCTTCGACTTTCACAATTCCTTAATTGACTCACAAATCAAGGTAATCTCTTTTGTGTTTTCACAATATATTTAATAATATTATTTTATTTCGACCTTTACTAAGCAGATTCTGGAAAATTTCATAGATTAGGAAATAAGTTATTCCAAAGCACTTCCATTTTCATTTTTCATTCAGACTTTGAGTTAATGTGCAAAATATTGAAAGAAAGAGCCAGAAAGCGTGCATTCTTGCATCTGTTCTCAATAATTTTGAAACTCTTGCAAATACCCAATACCGACCTTTTTGTGCCAAACATATTAATGGCATTAAAAATGAAACAATGTTCTTCCTTACCATGACTACTATAAATGTCTTGCATGTTTCAAGAAAAGTGCTGGGTTGCAATTAGACTGATGTTTATCATTAAATTTCTTGAAAGAAAATGCATAAAAAATATACACGGTATTAAGACACCATTCTGACTTGTGCTGTAGATATAAAAAGACATAGGATTTCACCTCCTGTAATCTCCTAACATTTTTGTAAAATTTCTGTGCAGAACTGTATTTTATGTATATATAATTTGAATTGGTTTTCAAAACATGTATATTTCTCTGTATACCATAGACAATACACAGCTGCATGTACAGTAATTTATAACAGTGAATATTCAGTGTAAACAAGTTCGCTTCATATTTTGTAATATTGTTTATTAGAAATATAGCCTAGATTTTTTAATACCAGGCATAAAATGCCTGTTTGTTTTGTTTGGTGCTAACATATGGTGACCTGTCACCACTTTTCTAATCTCTGTATGTTCATTATTGTCTCTCAGAAAAATGTATTTCTTTAAATTTCAGTTTGTTTCTCTATGTTGTTTGAAAGAAATACTTATAAACTTATTCTTTGGTTCTCTCAGAAAAAAAGTCTAACCCCGTTCAATATTCATAAGAAATATGAACCTCACAAATCAGTTTTCATGAGTTTAAAACATGTATTTAAATTTTCAAAATATTTGAAAAGGTATTTTGAATTTTTAAAAAGATTACAAGTTTGGTTTGAATTTTTGAAAAACTATCTTTGAAAAATATCTTACTAGTGTTAATAGCTAGGACAAGTTTATAAACGAGGGTGTCTTGTATGTAAAATGTCCCCCTTTAACTGCCTTTCTAAACTGTTAGTACTGATTTGAATCTGTTCGAACATTTTGGCTTCTAGGAACAGCTTCCTAGGGTTTTGATTTGTAGATGTTTAGATCTCCTAACAGCTATCTCATAGATCTCTATCGGATGTTATTGAAAGTCCAGCATTTTGAACATTGACCCTTCCTTGGCATTGGTACATCAGTGGACGGAATAAACTAAGGGTCATTATTTGAAAAAACACCATTATAACATTCTTGAAAAATCAATTTTCACAAATCAGCTGCCATCAGTGAGATGGCCTTGGGGTTAAAGTGTTTGCTCAGCGGGCAGAAGACTGGGTTTGATTCCTCACATGGGTACATTCCTGATGTCTTGCTGTGATATGACTATTGTAAAACTCAGCATGAATTCAGTCTGGTTAGCCATTTGATGATCACTTCCCATCTCTTGCCTTTGAAGCTTAGTGTGCAATATCATATGGGACAGGTCATATATTATAGGTGATGGGGCGAGTGGTCTGAGGACCAGGGATTGGGCTAGAAAACTTTGACAATGGGCCATTTTCAGGATTATTAGCCATTTTCTGAATTTAGAATGAGCCACTGCCCTTTATCAATGGTAAACTTCAAAATATTAATGGGCCATTTTTTTTCTCTAATGTACAAAATGGCCCATGGCCCCTGCCATTCACAATCCCTGGAGGACTGTATCATACTTTGTTGAAATTTTCTGTCGTTTTATGTAACATTTTGTCATGAAGTCTACTCTGTTTCCAATAATAAGGGGTGGTGGGGTAGCCAAGTGGTTTAAGCATCGTTCATCACGCCGAACACCCGGGTTCGATTCCCCACATGGGTACAATGTGTGAAGCCCATTTCTGGTGTCCCCTGCCTTGATATTGCTGGATTATTGCAAAAGGCGGCATGAAACTAAACTCACTCGCACACCCAATAATAAATGACCCGTCTCTAAATAATGTTCAAATTTATAATTTTTTATTTATATTTGAACAGTTGAATTGTGTCATTTTTTCATCAGCCCCTATTGCTGTGATAATTGTAGGGATGTCTCTATTTTGCTGTCAATTCTTCATGATCCTCTTTACTAATTTCTTCTCTCATTCTCTCACCCCCTCGCCTCCTCCCCCACCCTTCTCTGCTATAATAAATGACCAGCCCTTCGACTCTCTTAACTGATGAATGTGATAAGGCTACGAAGTATAATAAGTTGCTTACCCCTTCTACGATGTTCCTTCTGATTGCGACATTACAAGTGATAATTCTGTATACCTGGAGAGAAACATAACATTCAGAAACATCTTTAATATGTTAATGGCTGCAGTATCTAGTCACTTTTTGATACTTTTTCCCTGTTGATTCGTTAGCTTTGAGCATTTTTAGTTCTTTAAAGTTTTTGTTGTTGTGATCTCTTTCTCCATCGGTAGGACTTCAACAAACAGGAATCAACTGCTAAATGTCTTGTATCAGCATAATATTGAAAGTGCCATTCCTTTTTATAAACAAATTGACACAGAGGTCCTTATGGTAACTTTTTTGTTTTGCACAAGCTAATCACCCTTTAAAATGTTTTTGTCCCTCGGAGACATTTTAGGAACTGTTAAAACGGAGGTATAATTCCAACTTCAAAATGTAACAGAATAACAAAAACATTAAACTTAAAGAAGACTATAGTATTTCTTGAGATGGTAAATGAAAACGTGCTAATTTTTCAATGAGAACAAGAACGTTTTTATCAAATTATTAGAAAACGTTTTATGAAAGTTACAGTTAACGTTAAGAGGTTCTACTGTAAGTGTGTTTGAACTGTAAGAACAAGAATGGACATTCAAAAATGTTGCTGTAATCATTCATGACAGTATATCCATATAAGTTCTAATCATGTGTCTTGTTTTAATAAATACTCTGATGATCTTCCAATTTTTCAAGAACTATTTTATAACAATCAGCTATGGTATTTGTGTATCTTTTGTTAATTGTTATTTACATTTTTACTCTAAGTCACAACATATCTGAATGTACTGCACTCGTTACTGTATTGTAAATGACCCTGCCTTCATGTTTAGTGTGACGCTTTCCTTAAGGGCTCAGATCTGAAGTGTCGTCTATATCATGTACATCATCGAGGACTTGACAGCTTCTAAAGGATGCTTATTTCAGTTCTCTGAGGACATAATTTTGCAATCTTTCATTAAATTACCACCTTGCTCACATCAAAACAGATTTAATAACATTGATCATATTCTCAGAAATATTACGGTGTTGGTTATTGAATGAATATTGCATTAATATTTTTATCAAAAATCACAAGACTCATCAGTGTGTTAAGAACTGCATCTGAATATAATCTGTCCTAACATGATAATAAATATTTATACTTTCAAAGCATTCTCACAGCATTCAATGTTTGTACAAAATTAGTTTAAATGTTAATGTTATCATTGGGAGTTTGTTTTTTTCTGATTTTTATACTTTTTTCAAGGTTATTAGAACATATTGAAGAAATGTATCTACTCATCTGCCAAATTCGAATGATACGATACATCTGATTTTGTAAGAGTTACGTGTTAATCAATACATCCAATGAACAATTAATGTTCATTTTGATTTTGAAACTGGAAATAACTTTGAGGTATTTAGCCATTATGATTAGCATCAGCTAAGGTTAAGTGAGTGATTTGTGACTAAATTAATAATCAGTAGGTTTGGACTTGATGAATGTTACATACACATTTGAATTCAGGTGGTTGAATTTGTGAGGCCAGTTTCTCATAATTGTTTGTGATTCACTAGTGGTCTGAGCCATGCCCTGCTCAAATCTACATTCTTCAAGGAACACGTGAACGCTGTTGTATGAATGGTTTCCACAATGTTGCAGCTTTGTAAATACTTCCGCCAACTAGGTTCAGATCCTGCTGACAATAAAACACATTTACTACTGACTGGACTTTGTACTGCTTTGTTCAAGTGAGTTGTGTATCATTCCAGTGGAATGATATTTGGGTCATTGTCCAAGTGTGTCAGCTTGATGTGTGATAAAACACCATGGGATCATAGGTAGTTGATGTTTACCACTTAAATATAGCCCACAGGTAGTTGGTATTACCACTTAACTGAAGCCCACGGGAACACAGGTAGTAGATGGTACCACTTAACTGAAGCCCACGGGAACACAGGTAGTAGATGGTACCACTTACCTGAAGCCCACGGGAACACAGGTAGTAGATGGTACCACTTAACTGAAGCCCACGGGAACACAGGTAGTGGATGTTACTACTTATATGAAGCCTACAGGTAGTAGATGGTACCACTTAACTGAAGGCCACGGGAACACAGGTAGTAGATGGTACCACTTACCTGAAGCCCATGGGAACACAGGTAGTAGATGGTACCACTAACCTGAAGCCCACGGGAACACAGGTAGTAGATAGTACCACTTACCTGAAGCCCACGGGAACACAGGTAGTAGATGGTACCACTTAACTGAAGCCCACGGGAACACAGGTGGTAGATGGTACCACTTACCTGAAGCCCACGGAAACACAGGTAGTAGATGGTACCACTTACCTGAAGCCCACGGGAACACAGGTAGTAGATGGTACCACTTACCTGAAGCCAACGGGAACACAGGTAGTAGATGGTACCACTTACCTGAAGCCCACGGGAACACAGGTAGTAGATGGTACCACTTACCTGAAGCCCACGGGAACACAGGTAGTAGATGTTACTACTTATATGAAGCCTACAGGTAGTAGATGGTACCACTTAACTGAAGCCCACGGGAACACAGGTAGTAGATGGTACCACTTACCTGAAGCCCAGGGGAACACAGCTAGTAGATAGTACCACTTACCTGAAGCCCACGGGAACACAGGTAGTAGATGGTACCACTTACCTGAAGCCCACGGGAACACAGGTAGTAGATGTTACTACTTATAGGAAGCCTACAGGTACTAGATGGTACCACTTAACTGAAGCCCACGGGAACACAGGTAGTAGATGGTATCACTTACCTGAAGCCCACGGGAACACAGGTAGTAGATGGTACCACTTACCTGAAGCCCACGGGAACACAGGTAGTAGATGGTACCACTTACCTGAAGCCCACGGGAACACAGGTAGTAGATGGTACCACTTACCTGAAGCCCACGGGAACACAGGTAGTAGATGGTACCACTTACCTGAAGCCCACGGGAACACAGGTAGTAGATGGTACCACTTAACTGAAGCCCACGGGGACACAGGTAGGTGATGGTACCAGTTAACCACAATGTCAGGCTTCTATACAAGCAACAGGAAAAATAACAACAGGCAATATAAATTCTAATGTTTTATTAAAATATCACAGTCATAGTGTCAAGTTGTAACAATATATGATTTATACTATCACAGATTTCCTAAACGCACATTATTTATTAATATAAGGAGTGATATTGCTTATAATATTTGATTTGTCGAAAAATAATCGTACGTGGCGTTCTACAGCCTTGAAACATCACACAATGAATTCAATAAGCACTGGCAAGAAAATATGTGTACTCACACATCACTGAATTGCACATGCTGTCTTCTGTAAGCAGAGATACCAGTTATGGGGCCATTTTGATGTGGACGGAATATGCATTTATGTTACACAGGAGGAGTCGTATAGGAAGAAATGTTATTACCGGAAATAGTGCTTAGTACAATTCATCGCAATGGAGAAAGAAAGACCTTTCTTGTCTCTCATTTCCACTTTCATGTTATATAAATATAAAGCTTCAAGGACAGGGGATAACCAGTCTCAATTATGTTTGAAACGGATTCCATTCAACTTTGGAATCATAATAGCGGTGTAAATTACATGAGTAGATCACTGAAAATCAGGTAACTATTGCGTAAACATTCCCTCTAGTATGTATTTTTAACCTTATTTTCTCCTGAGAGGAGAACACGAGTTGAATTAAGAATTGTTTAGTGGTAAGTGGGTTGGTTATATGTTCAGAGTTATCCCCTTTGGTTTACGAACGGTTAGCACATCCTGCCCTATCGGTAGCACCCGCCACTCGACGGATTCCTGTAAAATCCTTTAAAGTGCATTGTCTTTGACAGAGCAAGAGTTGAGATCGTTAATATCAAACGTGGCTACAAAAATATTAAATAAATGAATAAATAAAAGTTGTCATGATATTGTTCCACGTGTATATGAATAGATATGAATAAATAATCACAAATGGTGATGACAGTATACACACATTTATGTACAGTTCAACAGGGTGATTCGCAGTTACATTACTAATCACAATTATCAGTTTTAATCAGATAAACTCCGTCCATTGCATGTATAGGAAGCGAGCAGCGGATACATTTAAATGAAAATTGAACCTTGTGTTTTCCGAGGATAATGTCAATTTTATATTTATGATACATGTTTTGAAAGGACCGCTATCACCATCACGAATGACCAGCTGTTGTGGTAACTTATCAAACCTCGAATATTTTCAGACAACCAGCTCGTTTGGGTAATATATACCTGGAATCATAGGCTTCTGGCATGTCCAAGGGACGCAACTCTCTGAACAGCTAATTGCGGCGCCTTGGACGAATGGGCCTCTCGAAATTGAAATGATCTTCTAACTAAATAACTATATATCTATTAAATATATAACTTCGGTTTATTTGCATATTTACAAATTCTTAAAAGTATATAATGTTAACAACGTCTTCAGAAATACCACGACAACGTGTTTGATAATGAACCTGGGCGAGATTAAACGTGCTGTCGAATACACACATACATATTACATATATTTACATAAATCATTGACACACATATTTACAAACACGATGATAATATATTACACTTCTAAGAAAACAATATCTTATCAATATGTGACGAAGTCTATACAGCTGTATATAAGGTAGGCACGAGGGATGAAGTAATAATTACAGTAAGGCATGTTTTACCTATGAATCAATGAAGTCATATAAATAACATGGTATCAGCTCGATGGAATTTATTCCTGAAAATATTATGTTGGGAAATAAATTAACTGTCGCGGAATGGATAACCAATGAGTCTGTTTTAGAGACACACTGAACGTCATGTGCAAAATCACAACTTCTGACTTGCTGTAAATTTGACAGAGCTATTCAACAACGAAGTCCACTGCATGTACCGTAAATCCTTGAATAGATGATTAAAATAAACACCCGGTCTGACGGGCTTGCTATGAGTAGAGTAAACGCTTGCCTTGAATAATAAGTAAAAAAACCTTTAAATCATCCCTTTAGGAGCTCATTAACGCGAAACTGGTATACTACAAACAAGAAAAATACCAAAACAAACGCGTTTTATCCAAATAACATGTCCAGTCTTGGAAATGGAAGTGTTTCCGTAATTAAAAATATTGACATGCTTTGAACAGACGCCGGGCGTGGGACGTCTCTGAATTATAAAAGGCGCTGATTCAAGGATTTACGGTAGATTGAAAATCAAATTCCTACTTGTATTTGAAACATATACTCGTGCATTACGACAAAGCGTACAGGAGAAAGCTTTTTACAAGGCTACTACGGAAGGCACTTTACTATGTACAAAACCTAAGGCACCAGCTGGCTTTTGTATGCATTCAGATACATTCAGTGCTGTAATATACAAATGTTGAAGTTTGGTGTACAAAAGAGATTAAAATTCCTGCATTCTTATCGCAGGACAATCAGCACGAAAGAACACCGTTCATCTTTGGGCGGATTCTGTTATGGCAATTGTGAGGATGAAAATCTTGGTTTCCGTTTTTAGATTTTATTTCATTTGGTGTCTTGGGTGTTCTAAAATCTCGAAGATGGCATGACTTCGTTCTGACTTTGAGATGGTGCTAACCGTGGCGACATGTTTAGACTGATGAGTCACTTGTGTTTAGGAGCCGGAAAATATACGTGTTATCTTTTACCAACAAGCCGGTTAACTACTCGTGCCCCTCTCGTGGCTATTTTCGCGACTGAGTTCTGTCTAAGCGCAAACGGGCATAGCTAAATGAATTGGGACTACTTACAACGGATACTTCTCGTTTGTCATATATATTGCAGATGACATATATCTGATGTATTGGACTTAACTAATATGCGATATGGTTGAACACATCCCTTGTGTCTGGGGCATGTTTTTCGATAAAAACCTTTGTTAAATGAACATTATTCTTGATGGTTTCTTTGACCGAAGTTCTTGAAGTCATGCGCGAATTCTGACTGGTTCCTTTTATTTTCAAACATTACATTCCTCGAAAGGGGGCACAAGAACTCTTGCAGGTGAAGGGAGGGATCGAGTGGTGACGAATGGTATTCGTGTATACTGACAAATCCCAGGAAAGCTCAATGTATCGATTTAGGGGACATCATCAATTTACCTATGAACATACGGCAGCTGTGAGTCTAAAAACCGTTTTGATTACAGCTTGAGGGGTGATCTGCAGAAGCGAAATATAAGACAATTAAAGCAAACATACATTTACAGCGATACTGTTTTAACAAGAATCATAGTCACGTTTTTAACCTGGACCCGTTTTACAAAACAAATTTAGCGGAAAGTCCAGCCTACCCTTCACATTTGCGCAGGTTAGTTGGAGGACCAAAACCATGTTATGGCACAGATCCTGTAAATTAGTTTAAGCTAAACGGTATTCGGTGAATGAGTTGTTTTTACGCTGCTTTTAGGAATATCCCAGCAATATCACGGCGGGGGGACACCTGAAATGGGCTTCACAATCGGATGTGGGGGAATCGGACTAGGGTTCGACGAGCGAAGGCTTTAACCTCTAGTTAACCAATCAAACGCCCCGCTAAAAGGTGTAAGTAGAGCTCTTGTACACATTGCTGTCGTCAAGAGAGCCGAGAACTCATGTTTTGGAATGTAGTTACACATATGGAATGGGGCTACTCATATTTTACTTCAGAAAGCAAACACATCTGTTGGAGCGTTCTGTCATAACAGATCTCGACACATACCGGCAAAAGACATCCCGCAGTCATGCGTTATGGTGCTCAGAGGCGGAGATGGTCATAAACGTCATGGAATGTTCCCAAGAATGTCTTAGAAAGTTGGGCTTGCAGTTGGGTGTAATTGTCAAGAGTTTTCATCCATGACTCGGATTTGGATCTCTGGTGGAGGTTTCTTAGTGTTTGGGGATCAAAGCAGCTGAACTATGAAGAAACTGTACATATAAAAATATTGGTCGCAAATTCCCCACCTGACAAATGCCCTCGATAGACTTTATGGGTCCTTTTATCAATACAAAGAAGATCCTTAAATTTTAACTTGTAAGGAGGAATTAATTTATGATTTTTAAAGGTAATATCTTGTTCTCTGTGTATTGGTCATATCGTAAGTATGAAGGTAAGGATCGTCATTTATACTGGGATTCTGGCTGACAGCATTGAAAAACGTGCTTTCTCGAGATAGACTGGCACATGACAAGAATATACTGGGCACAAAGTGATAGTCGCTAGACCACAGTCTCAAGTCTATATTAAAGTATGGGAGTTACGATTATCTTTGTGAAACGACCCATGATTTGGGCTGCCGTTGCGTGTGAATACAATCTTGGAGGAACTTGACGATGAGGTCCCATGCCAGTCTTCTCACTGGTACCGCTTGTAGTATGGGTGGTGCTGATTGTAATAATAAGGGCTGGGGTAGTGTGGGTGGGGCGGGTAGTACTGATGGTGGCGATGGTAGGGGTTGTAATGGGACTTGTAGTAACTCTGGTCCACCTGGGCGTCGGCTTCTGTGACAGCCCACTGCATGATTCCCAGATGATTCTTCAGGTCGTTTTTTGGCGACGCTGGAGGCGGAACTGAAGACGAAGAAGTCGTCGGCGGAAAACATGACTGAGTTCATTGCGCCGGAGTATACCTTGGTGCCTCGGTACTCGCTCTGAAAGAACAACACAGTCATTCGTAATTAAGATATACAACGTGTCTGAAACAGTTGCTTTTATTGTTGGTGAGTGAATAATGAAGGATACAACTTTATGGATGACAACTTCTTGTTTATTACATAGAGCGACGTTTCGGGGTAGATTCTTACACTGTTGTCGCAGGGACATACTTTGTATGTCTGAGTGTTATGATTAGTTTGCGCCAGTTAGCTTTTAAGTATTGTAAATAATCATTGATTCTCTATCTATATTTCAGTATCCAATAGGCGCTGACATATGCAATGTAAATATGTATTTTAATATATTGCTTTGTTTCAACTCACTACAGTGACTGAAATGAAATAGTTAATAATTTATGTATTTTAAATAAGTTTCTTGATTTCAGCTCAAATCAGCGCTGAAACGGTTCATATAGTTAATTGCTTAGTTTTAATAATACAACCAATAGTGTCTACCCAACCGTGACAACACGTTACGATTGGTCCATTCAAACCTGCATGCTTTTTCTATGCCTCAACACCTCGCGCCCTGACACAACTGACAAAACCTGTGTGACAGACAGACGAACATAGGCGTCAACTTAATTCTCATCAGGTTAGTAAACTAACTATCTTAAATAATGTTTATGCATATCTAATGTAGTAGTAATTCAATAAGTAATCTTAAGCACATAGCGTATATTAAATAAGGGTAATTAATGCCGTCAGGGTAGTTAGCGTGTGTTGTAATCGGCACGGCAGGTAAACGCAAAGTTTCCATTTTAATGGGTATCATATATTCCCTTTTAAACATAAACAGCATTAAATAACTTCAAAGCGAGGCATTGTGAGTATGCTTTGTGTATGAATGTTGTCTAATTATTATTATCGCATTTTGCACAAATAATGGCAAAGTGTATAAATATATCTTTCCATGCTTATTGTTATTTCTGCATGGACAGTTTACAATGAATCGGTTTGGTTTTGATCGCAATCTATTTTATTTCCAGCACACATTATTCCATCGTCTGCTATGGCAGCCAGGCATAAACAAGGGCCCCTGTACCATATGTAATGTACCGTACAATACTGTTTATATCATGTGTATATATCATTTAAGCATACAGAATCATCGTTCCTTTATATTAACCTTCTAAAGTAAATAGTGTATGCTGTGCGGTGATTGCCGCCGATATCATTTATGGCTTTGTTTAAGTCATGTCATGAGTTATCGCCCCTGATCTTTGTAAAGTTCAATCCCTCGGCTATCATTATATTTCCGTAATGTTTTAATGTACAGATAATATTGTCGGTGCTCATGTATTCAAGCTCTATTAACATTTATAATGTTAATATACTGAATATTTATAAATAGATGTAAATGTATGTTCTGCAAGCATGCCGAACATTATTATATTATTATATTGTTTCTACAATTGTTTCAGGGTTTATCGTGTATGTTGAAAATCTCCATCCACTTGGAAATAAACCGAACTTACAACCCTGCATTCACTTTGCGTGTCGTCATTGTGACCCTGCTACACTGTTATCAAGCTAAATGTGACAACGGTGTAAGAATCAACATCGAAACGTCTCTGTCTGTGTAATAAACAAAAAGTTGTCATCCATCAAGTTGTGTGCTTTAGTATGGTCTCTGAAAAAGATTTCGTTGGTAGCAATATGAAATCTAGCGATGATAATTAAATGAATCACTACAACGCGAAAAGAAAAAACATGTCCTTCCAAACCGCTGGCATCAATGCTTGGATTATACAACAAAGTGCTTGTTGCCTGACGCCGAAACAAAAAAAATAGTAAGGTTGCTAGACTGAAGGACAACTGGCTCAACTCCAGCCTTATAGCTCATGAGCCTAATGGCTCTTAACCAGGCATTTCTGACGTAATACAATAAATAATTATTTATAATTTCATAAAATGCCAGATACAAGTTGGAGAACAATTTATTTTCATGTCTTTTTGCAAAAAGGCATACTGGTGCACATGCAGTTACTCGATGTAAATATCAAACGTCAACGCGAGAGAGTGACTTTTTTTCCTGTGACTTTTTATCTGTGACTTTTTTTCCTGTGACTTTTTTTCTGTGACTTTTTATCTGTGACTTTTTTTCCTGTGACTTTCTTTCCTACATTCCTCGTCTCCATTATCCGCCGAATCAGTTCCATTAACCAAGGCGAAAAAATCCATGAGTGAGTTTTGTTTTACGCCGATTTTAGCAATATTCCTGCAATATCAGGGCGGGGGGCACGAGAAATGGGCTTCACACATTGTGCCCATGTGGGGAATCGAACCCGTGTCTTCTTCGTGACGAGGTGACGAGGAAACTCTTCAACCACTTTGCGAATAGGGTAACGATGTCCGCTCTACCTAATCATGCACGACTTGTCCAGACCAATATAACATATCAATGAGTTGGTTGAGAGACCTCTCATCAGACAAGTGAGGCTACCATGGATGTTTGTATTATTCAAGTTACGCCACCACCGATGTATCTATGGGTATAAACAGCCATGGATGTGTGTATCCTACCTCTGAGGTGGAACATGGGTATTTGTAGAGTCTTAATCTCCCCATACTGTCTCCTGTCACCAGTAAATCCCTTTGTCGGCCGTTTGAGCGATCAACTGCCTTGATTGTCTCCCCTGCGTCGAGGTGCTGCCAAGGTCCTGAATCAGAAGAAGCGATACATCATTTCAAACTGTCATAATAGAATTCAATTGCGAAACATGTCTAAGTTTCATTAAGGAACGTGTATGAATCACAAAATGTAACTGATTATGGGTTAAATAAAAACCTGTGATCTAAGATTTTTTGTGAAAGAATCCGTCCCTTTACCATACAAGGATTCGCAAATTCACCCCGATTGTTATAAAAGGTTTGTCAACACAATCAAAGTTTCTGTTTCGAGGTTTTCGCCTGTATTTAGTTTACACGTCCTGAAATATACTGAGGGAAACAAATAAGGGAACACCACTTCATGGATTCTCAGTGTTCTTTTATCTATTCTCAGATTTCCTTCCACAGCGCTATTCAAAGTAGGTATTGAAAACCGGAAAATATTGAAGAAACACTTGAATTTTCCTGTGTTCCTTTATTTGTTTCTCTCAGTATATGTGACATTTTGCCCAAAGAGGCGTTAAATCCATCGAACTCAAAATGAAACAAGTGTACACTGCATGCACTTGAATTCTACCATGTGTCTGAGAAACGAATTTCGGAAACTATGAAAGATCGATTATACAATTACCCTAGAAAACAAATGCAATTTGGCGCAAAGGGCAAAAATAGCAAGTCGAAGTGCTTGAGGTGTATTTGAAAATTACTGTCTAAAGGGTTTTTCTGTCATTCTGACATGTTCTAGATTTGTTGTTATGCGTGCAAACCAATGAAACCATATTCCTCAATGGTCCATGAAATATTGCTTACGCTTACCCTCCTGACTGTACATACTTCAACAGATGATTGTATATTAAGTATACACTAGAAAGGTGTATTCTAGTGCTTATCAGAGAGGACAGCTTACCTAGTATAGAGTGTGACACCAGGGCTTTGTGGGTCACCCATTCTGCATCCCTCGCTTTGTGGCCTGGTATTACCTTTGGTTTTTGTCCGCAGACCCTGTGAGAGATTATGTGAAATCATTTTTTATAGACACACACACAGAGACACACCTGAATACAAACAGAGAGACAGTCATACACACACGAATATAGATCAGACACACGAATACAGACCGACCGACACACACTCGCAAACACAGGCAGACCGACAGACAGAACTATTTACACCTATTCACAAAGAAACTAAAACATTGATCTTTGAATAGGAACTTTGGGCTATTTATCGTGTTTAGTGTTCAGCTCCACGGTAAATGATAAGTCAAATTGACCCCAACAATTTCAATATTTTTTCCGTATCATTTAGACTATCCAATTTCGTTTGAACGATTCACGACCAGGTGACCATGTAAAAATAGGTTGTTTATTTAACCAGCAATGCTTGCTACTTACAGAAGAACACCTGGAAATCTGTGGAAGATGTCTGCAGGAACTTGCAGTCCAGAGACCAGTCAATGTTCGTCATCGACAAACCATGCACCTGCAACAGTGAACACAAACGACGTGTCGGTGGGATTTTAAGGTCGCTTTTAACGATATCAGCTTGATGGGGTGAGGAAAGAGGGACGCAGTTCTTGGACGGTTATCGCTTGAGGTAACCGACGCGCACCGGTATGAAAACCTAGAATCGTATTTGGAGCGATACGGGATTCGAGGCCACGATCACCGGCTCCCTGGTGTACCCAAGGGACGCAAGTGCGGCGCCTACGACGTCTGGTAACGTAGAAAACATTCTCAACGTATAAACTAAACCATGTCGAGGGCTACTGACTGATGGCTCCAGATATTACTGACCGCTGATTAGTGATGTCCTCTATCAGGACATTCGTAAGAAGATGTACTAACGTTTGATGTTGCGTGGGGAGACGCCCCAGGGATCCCCTTTCCACAGAACAGATGTGCAAGTAGCCATCGTCAGCAGCAATCGCCAGCCGCACCCCATCTGCAAAACATCATCGGGATTAATTTTGTAGAATATTCGCGACAACTGTGAATTTTCAAAATCTTATTTCTACGCTTTAATTAATTATAAACACAATTAGATAATGACGACTCTCATTCTTGATTAAATGTTTCAAAACATTAATATGACCAACATGGCATTTTATAGATTTTCGCTTTTGTTGCTACAAAAGCATGCGCTTGCCCTCTTTTTTTGAACATACCAGGACTATGATGTTGCTGTTACTTCTATATCTCTATATGGTGTTTGACTGAGAGGTTATGAAAGATCGATTATACAATTACCCTAGAAAACAAATGCAATTTGGCGCAAAGGGCAAAAATAGCAAGTCGAAGTGCTTGAGGTGTATTTGAAAATTACTGTCTAAAGGGTTTTTCTGTCATTCTGACATGTTCTAGATTTGTTGTTATGCGTGCAAACCAATGAAACCATATTCCTCAATGGTCCATGAAATATTGCTTACGCTTACCCTCCTGACTGTACATACTTCAACAGATGATTGTATATTAAGTATACACTAGAAAGGTGTATTCTAGTGCTTATCAGAAAGGACAGCTTACCTAGTATAGAGTGTGACACCAGGGCTTTGTGGGTCACCCATTCTGCATCCCTCGCTTTGTGGCCTGGTATTACCTTTGGTTTTTTGTCCGCAGACCCTGTGAGAGATGATGTGAAATCATTTTTTATAGACACACACACACCTGAATACAAACAGAGAGACAGTCATACACACACGAATATAGATCAGACACACGAATACAGACAGACAGACACACTCGCAAACACAGGCAGACAGACAGACAAAACTATTTACACCTATTCACAAAGAAACTAAAACATTGATCTTTGAATAGGAACTTTGGCTATTTATCGTGTTCAGTGTTCAGCACCACGGTAAATGATAAGTTAAATTGACCCCAACAATTTTAATATTTTTTTCCGTATCATTTGCACTATCCAATTTCGTTTGAACGATACACGACCATGTGACCATGTAAATAATTGGTTGTTTATTTAACCAGCAATGCTTGCTACTTACAGAAGAACACCTGGAAATCTGTGGAAGATGTCTGCAGGAACTTGCAGTCGAGAGACCAGTCAATGTTCGTCATCGACAGACCATGCACCTGCAACAGTGAACACAAACGATGACATACTTCCAACCAACGTTGTTTCCGAGTCGGTGGGATTTTAAGGGTGCTTTTAACGATATCAGCTTGATGGGGGAAGGAACGTACGAAGAGATGCAGTTCTTGGACGGTTATCGCTTGAGTGTAACCCACGCGCACCGGTATGAAAACCTAGAATCGTATTTGGAGCGATACGGGATTCGAGGCCGCGATCACCGGCTCCTGGTGTGCCCAAGGGACGCAAGTGCGGCGCCTACAACGTCTGGTAACGTAGAAAACATTCTCAACGTATAAACTAAACCATGTCGGGGCTACTGACTGATGGCTCCAGATTTTACTGACCGCTGATTAGTGATGCCCTCTATCAGGACATTGGTAAGGAGATGTACTAACGTTTGATGTTGCGTGGAGACGCCCCAGGGATCCCCTCTCCACAGAACAGATGTGCAAGTAGCCATCGTCAACAGCAATCGCCAGCCGCACCCCATCTGCAAAACATCATCGGGATTAATTTTGTAGAATATTCGCGACAACTGTGAATTTTCAAAATCTTATTTCTACGCTTTAATTAATTATACACACAATTAGATAATGACGACTCTCATTCTTGATTAAATGTTTCAAAACATTAATATGACCAACATGGGATTTTATGGATTTTCGTTTTGTTGCTACAAAAGCATGCGCTTGCCCTCTTTTTGAACATACCAGGACTATTATCCTTCTGTTCCTTCCATATCTCTATATGGTGTTTGACTGAGATGTAAGTTGAGGTAGGAATACGTGGCATGTGTGAACACCTGGTGTCATCACTATTTGACAGTGATTCATAAACATACCAATGAACAAGTCGGAATCGTACAATCTACTGTTTTCAGCAGAGATTCCTTATGAATAAGGAAACGATGTTCTCGCTTTTATTTAATCATCTCACTGTTTTGTGGAAGTAAATTGCCGTATTGCACGCAAGGAAAGTATAAAGATAGTAAATATCATACTGTTACTAAATTAGTTGTATGTAAAACGGCAATTTTAACCTTAACATTGATTAATTATTCATTTCTAATCTGAACAAATGACTCGACACACAGACTTGAAACTCGATCATCTGTGGAAAACTGGACATACCTGGAGAGAAAGCCACAGTGTTGACCTTCTTGGCGCCTATCACTATCGTGTTCTCCTCTCGGCCTCTGTTCGTGTCGTTCAGGATGATGACCTTACCAGACTTTGTTCCTAAGGCAACCATCCGATCTCGATGATCAACAGCAACAGCCGAGCATTTCTCCCCCTGTCACAAGAAAATCAAAGAAATTATATTATCACAAGAGAACTAATCGATATGGTGATGACCACATTGACACCAAAATAAGTTCAGAGATTGTTGATGAAAGATTCTTTCTGTTGTTTCTTTTCGCTCGGTATGTCAATGATATTTTTCATCGCGGTGTAAAATAGATTTATTTATGATTACTCATAAATTTGTGATTGATACAGTTACCAAAGATCGCCAACACCAAACTTTAGTCTTTAGACCATCCAATCCATTTTGTAAACTGTCCTAAGCAATAGATGAAGGTTATGCATTTCAACAAAGGATCTGAATGCTGTTTATAATGGATATTGTCATTTGTGGAGAAGATGACTGAATGGATTCTGGGATACCTCGATCTTGGTCTTCCAGATAGGTATTCGTTGTGAAGCAGACCACTTGACGACCAAATCCTTTCCTGCGGTGACGAAGTGGTATTCCTTTGCCTTTCCATGAGGCATATATTCTCTGGGGTGAACGGCGATGGACACACTATCCCCGCTGTGACCCTGTTGGAAGGAAAAACGAAAATACCAAAATGGATAGCTGCGCAAATCTATACAATCCCACATTTTTTGACTTGTAAATTTATAACGCTATTAGTCCATGGGTCGTGATACATCCCCAGATTGCATATATCCCAGGACAAGACATGGTCAAGAGGATAATTGGTTGATTGGTCGTTTAACTCCGCACTCAGCAATATTCCAGCAACATGGTGGGGATAATTAGTAATGGGAGTTGGTACCAGAGGGTTGAAAGCAGAACCATTTTATACTCAATAATTTGTGCCCTGTCCAGTGACAATGGCCTTGGTCCAAGGGCAAGGTTCAGCCCGTCTATGCATCTCACCAGGACGAGATTTAAACAACTTGATACTTGGATAAACTGGTCATTTCCAAAGACGGTTGAAAGCGGAACCATTTTACAGCCATGAAATGATACCAGTCCAAGGGCAAAGTTAACATGTCCATGCATATCACCCAGGACGAGACTTAAGCAACAGGATAATTGAAAAAGAGGTCATCATCATAGACGGTTGAAACCGGAACCATTTTACAGCCCATACATTGTGCTTTGTCCAGTGCCAATGATACCGGTCCAAGAGCAAAAGTATAACCCATCTATGCATCTTATCCAGGACGAGGCACAGACTACAGGAGAGTTGAAAAGGGGTCATCATCATACGCGGTTGAAACCGGAACGTTTTCACACCTCAGAGTTTGTGCTTTGTCCAGTGACAGTGAGACTGGTCCAAGGGCAAAGGAACCACCCTTCTTTGCATCATATCCAGGACGAGACATAGACTAATTAGTAGAGGGAGTCAGCATCAAGAAAGAATAGATCTTGGAACCCGTTTACACCAAGGTTTAGTGACAGATATTAAAACAAGACTTCTTTCAGCTCAGAACACCCGGTGTCCAAGGGTCAAAGTAATCTGTCCAACATGCTAGATTGTACAAGTTCTGTGTCAAGATCTCTAATATCGGGTGGAGTATTTCATTGCTTTGTGGAGCAATAGTACCAGATCTCACCTGAACAATGGTAGAGAACTTCTCGTGCAGATGTCCCTGGAGGATGCAGTTCTTGTCACTGCCCAAGAAAATGAGACCATCCTCAAAGTTGGCGAAGCTGGGAACTATCGCCTGGATGTTACCATTCATGTTAACCTGCAAAGATAAGTGAGTTATTCTCCTAACTACACCATGTGCCATAAACTCATGTTTCGAGATTAATCGGATCCACGATGTTCATAAGTAAACAAACAAGAGTCACGCAGCTGCCAAACTTGAATGCACTGTCCCGCCTACCTGTATCCTCTGTGGGTTTTTGAATCTGTTCCTTGTGTCCCAGAGGAACATCTCACTGCCTCCCCCAGACAGCATCATCCCATCTGGCAACATCGCTAGGTAGGTGATGGGGAACTGAAACAGATGCGGTACTCAGCTCACACGTTCAGCAGTAAAAGGAAAAACAGTGTTAGACTCTTTCAAATAGTTCTAATGCTTCATCAGTTTCTGTGATTCTTCTTGATTCACACTTCTTGAGTCACTGACAGCGCCCCGGAAGGCGAGTGAGTGAGTGTAGGTGAATACCGCTTAACTATATCAAGGCGTGGAAAATTTTAGTTGGTGTCACGCATTGTTTAAACTTGGGAATGGAACCCGTCTTTAGTTTGACAAGCGGACGCCGTCACCAAACGGTTACATATCAGTCACTGGATTGTCTGGTCCAGACTGGATTGTTTACAGACCGCCGCCATGTAGGTGGATTATTGCTGAGAGCGGCGTTAAACAACAAACAAATAAACATCTCATACAGGAGGGGTGAATTTAGGGTTGGGGTTGTGGTGGCTGGTTTATCGACAAAAACATTAACTCAGAAATTACTTGAAATATGGTTGTGACGCAGAGTTTTAACAAACATATTGTTGCAAGTGGTTTTGACACATTGTTTGGCTCAATGTTGTAAAATAACATTGTGCAGTTTTGCAACTGTTGCGGAAACTATATTTAGTTAGTCTCCAAACAAATTAACCTCCTACCTCACGCACCGCCTCCGTGGTGTAGTGGTTAGAGCGTCCGCCCGGAGAGCGGAAGGTCGCGGGTTCGATCCCCGACCGCGTCATACCAAAAGACGTTAAAATATGGTACTTGTTGGTCCCTGCCTGGCGCTCGGCATTAATGGGTACAACAAGGACTGGTTGGCTCGGAGTCAGTATAATGTGTCTGAGTGGGGTATTCATGCTTCACTGCGGCATGGTATCTCAGTGGGCTAGCACTATAAAACCAGCTTAAGTCTGGGCTAGTACAAGCAGCTGTACATACACACGCATGCACGTCGTCATATGAGCGAAATATTCTCAAGCACGACGTTAAACCCAATTTCACCTCACCTCACCTACCCCACGCCGCCCAGCCCAGCCCTGCCCCACCACTACCCCCAGAATATCAAACTGTCGGTCACTGCGTCCTTGTCTGTGTTTGGTGTGACGAGACTCACTTGCTTCATTACATATAAAATAAGCTTATCATCGAACTGTCAAAGTCAAATATGATTACGTCCATATACCTGATGCATGTTGATCTCGGAGTCAGACCGGTTGAGGCTGAAGATGTTGTCATTGTCACGGGCCCAGATCATGATGGAGCCGTTGGAGTCGCCGGTGATGACCTCACCAGATGGCGAGAACGCTATCGCAGTGAAATGGGTCGGTATATCATCCTGTAAATATTTGAGAAGGTCAAAGATGGTCATACCAAAGTAAATTTACTCTTTCAAATTGAAAAGTTTCATGGTCTTCTGTACATCTTAAACATTATTTCGGATCTGAGCGCGAGATATTTTTTTGAAATAACAACAAATTAATCAAACCAATGAACCGATCAAGACAGGGTATTTTGCGCTTTTTCGAACTAATATGTGTGGACTTTGAATTCTTCCAAGATACAATTCATGCATGTTCTGCAATTGCAACATGCTATATTTAGCATTAATGTTAAACATCAATTTTGGAAAAATGCATTTTTTTGCAAATGTCAATCTTTTATAAATATCAGGTACAGACAAGGCAATGCCTTTAACGACCTACTGTCACAGATGCCGAGGTAATAATACTGAGCGAGCTGATGGTAATTAATGCGTTACACCGTATTCACATTAATATACATGTCTTCTAAATATGAAACTATTGACGCGACAAATTTTAAGCGCTACTGTTACAATTATAACTTTGGATCACAGATGTATTCATTTACTCTGAAGCACTGGTTTTTGTTGGTCTATACCTGGTGTGAAGTGTCATGCAATTCAATCAATAGTCATGCAAAAAGGAAAGAAAAGGGCCCACCTTTCTATCGATGTATTAATATTATCAAAGGGACAAAAGCGTTTGGGTTATGCAAAGGGATACTCGGGTGTCAGCTATGAGATATTTGCACACACACATTAGGAGTCCTACTAAAACATTTATCCAACAGTCGGTTGTGAGATAGTAGTAGTAGTAGTAGTAGTAGAAGTAGTAGTAGTAGTAGTAGTAGTAGTAGTGGTAGTAGTATCTATTACATCTACACTCTCACTGAACCTATACATTTCATGATGTAACGTATGCTATATAGTCTGTCCAATATTTGTAGATCGTATCCAGAAGCCTTTAATCAACACCAGCCCCAGGGTCCGAAAGGAGGATAAGATAAGTATTGACACAGCAAACTGATCCAGTACGATAAGTAAACCATATCAAGTATTGTTTACGTTTTCGGAGACGCTGCATGAATACAGTCCAATATTTGTTCACCTAATTTGTGTTTGCACATCAATTAAAGGAGAATTAAATAAATACTTGCTTTCAAAATACCCTGCAAATATGCAACCCATAACTCTGTACATGTCGATTCTATAACAAGTAATGTTCTCAAAGATTAAAGCAAGCAAAATGTATGAATGTTAGGATAATTAGGTTATTTTAGTTAGTGTATCGATATTTTTTTTCTTACCTTCGTCTTATCTTCGGACTATAAAAAATTTAGAAATTCAGAGATAGTAAAACACATAAACTATTAACCATTCTCAAATTCGTTTTGCAAATTCTCAAATTCGTATTGCAAATTCTGACGTCTTCATGAAGGTCAGAATGTCCTTTATGCATGGTAGACAGAGGCATGCACATACATGCATACTCATGCTCATTAGTTCCATCACATGCATGGTGCTGCGTCAAAGAATCGTGGCATTCCTCACAACTGATTGTCAATCTAACCGTGTCACTTAAAGAGAATTTACAGTTCCATTTCATTGTACATGCTGGATGGGACATGCAAGAGGGCTTGTTTAATGGTGGAACGAGTTCATTGTGGTTAATTGTGAAAATGACATTGTTTCGTAATACTGATGAAAGCGGGAAACACACGAGTGCTGTGGGCAATGTCACTCAAATCAGGTGTGTCTTGTGGACTTAGAGGAATAATCGAGACATTCTTTCATTCTACGGGCAACCTTCCAAATGAATTGATTGGACGAATTCTCACAGACCATTATATACGTGTTTGCCAGAAATGTTTTACGAACCGAATAAACAAATAAAAAACCAATTGCATTTTGTTGCATTGTGGCTATAAATGCACTCATAGTCCCGTATACTGTCGTAATCGTTTGTCACTATTCCCAACCATAGAGCGATTTGTGAATACACACTGATAATGGGGTACTGCAAGGTAGCTCATTAACGCCTTCATTACTTCATACAATTCTATAGAATGAAAGAATGGGTGTGGCATCTACACAATAATGTTGTTTCCCTTACCTGTTTCAAACCCCGAAGCTTTAATAATATATTCAAATATATTGAAAACTTGTTTTGAATGCCTGACTGTATAAATGGCTTTGTTGTCCAACTAAGCAACCGAGTAAGACAACCCAACAACGCAGCCAGAAGAATGAATAATGAAATAAGCCATCAAAATGCCGATTCCCATGCCGGCTTGTCCCACTATTCCTAGTGGAAATATATACTCAAAGGTAACAATGAATCTTTGTTCTCTGTATCAGAATCCACTGCCTTCCTGACCGGGATGGATGGTCAAGCATAGCGCCCACATTCAGGATGTGTGAATATGGAGACTGATACCAGATGTAGAGATCTTTACAGAAAAATCATGAATGACAATGATTTTCTTTCTTCAGACCTAGAATTACTAATTCCACATGGAAGCATATTAGGACCACGGCTTTCTTTGTCATTTACGTACTTGATACTTTCACCTACAAAAGAAAACACTTTCGTCTTGGTAGATGATAACTTTATCTCCATATATGATAAGCGAATCGTGCGTATCATTTCTCCGACCGTGCTAATGTCTTTTGATGTTGCTTAGTTGGATATATATGTTCCGAAAGTACCTAAATATAGACAGATCAAGGTTGAAAGTAAATAAACAGTCATTGTTAATTTAGTCACATGTAAGATAAAACAGACCCGGAACTATTCTCGAGAAATTATGGTCAGAAATGTCAACAATTCGACAGAAGATGATACCTTATCCTTAGGTAGATTTAAATATGATATACTTTACAATAAATGTCGTCTATGTAGACAAAAGTATCATCCACGCAAATTAAGTATCTTCTACGCAGACGAAAGCATCATCTACGTAGATGAAAATCTTTTCTACGAAAATGATAAAATATTTTAGACTGAGGCCCTAATATTTCCTTAAATTCAAAAGGCGGTTCAAAATGTGGACAACATCAATGGAAACTAACATGTCGACACATACCGAGTATACATACTCAAAACTTCGTGTTCTTTGGTTCATATCAAGAAAATGTAAAAAATCGGTTATGCTTTCTGTATACATGCGATCGCCAATGAGTTACTTCAGCATTTCAGCATCATGTATCCATCAACCTATGCTTGGGACAATTCTAACCGGAAATCTTAAAGAGGTCTTTCCATCTGCAACTAATCGAAATAAAAATGCCAGGTTTTGTGAAGCTGAAGCAGACCAAATCATATGAATGTCCCTCCTCTCCTCTCCTTAAGTTACCTACCTCTGAATACCCGCTGAGTTTGTCTCTGAGTATTCTTGTGTATGGAGTTCGGTCGTGTTCCCAGTCGAGTCTCCAGAAGTACAGGTGCTGCCGTCCATATGTGATGAGGATGTCATCTTCAAAGGGGTAGAAGCATCCCCCTGTCACTGTCTCTGTGTTAGTCTGGAAGAAAACAATATACCTTCTTACCTTTCATATAAAAGTTTAAAGAACATTTTGGCCATTAACAACTTCTTCATTGTCTTCACATGGCCTATTTGCCAGCAGAGAGATGTTTAAAGCCTACCTCTTGCCTATTCTTCAACAGGATGACATTTCATGGTGATCTCTTGCCTATACACAAGCAGATATACGTTATGTGGCTACCTCTTGCCTGTTCACCAGCAAAAACATGGTCGTTTCTTCAACTTTCAAGCCCTACTTCTCACCTTTCATCAGATAAATGCAGTTGTTTTCTTTCTTACATGCTTCAGTGTTACTTCTTCTCTATTCCCCACATGAATGATGTATTCACCCACTGAGGGGTTGAGATAAAGTGCCCAGAGATAGCCCAGAACCACCATAACAAAGAATAAGGAAGTTCTTATCAAGGAAAGGTTTCAAGTCTTATTTGAACCTTGTTTGGTTATTTTTTACGCCGCAATATTCCAGCTATATGGCGTCTGTCTGTAAATAATCGATACTGGACCAGACAATCTAGTGATCAACAGCCTGAGCATTGATCTACGCAACTGGGATACGATGACATATGTCAACCAAGTCAGCGAGTCTCACCACCCGATCCCGTTAGTCGCTTCTTACGACAAGCAGGGGTTGCTGAAAACCAATTCTCACCCGGATCATGACGAATATTTACAAGGAGGGTGTCTGTACTTGAAGAATGACTTTCGAAAAGATATTGATCAGGCACTTATTAAACTACAATGACATATTTTGTGGCCTCCACAGAACACTAATAAAACAGTTCCCAGAAAGGTGCGATCATGACCAAAATCATTTTACAATTTTAAAACAGTGCCATTTCTAGCCCGAACTTTGATAAGAATTGAAAGCATCAATAATATATAGCCTCGTTGAGTGATTGTTCCTTTCAATCAAACAGACCTTAAAGTAACATGTTTAACGTCATTAAACACATCAATATAGTTCCATTATCCAACTTTTGTTAATCCCAGAACAAACGTTACTGTTTACACAAATGTTGTATATTATTCATCATTGTGTTCACCATTTCCAGTCCTTTCAGGACAAAGAACGACTGACAGAAAGTACATGCTTGACGACTCCCAAATGCAAATACCAGTCATCCCAGAAGTTCAGTAATAATGTGCATATATACATGAACAAGTTGAGACACAAGGAAACTTCAGAAAACACGTGAATAAACAAAACAAAACTAAAAAACTAAAATAACTTAAGAAGACTGGTTCGTGCCATAGTTTGATTAAATAGATGGCAACACTGAAAACACAATTTACCACTGATTGCTAATCAGCGACGTGAAATATTATACGAAGAAATGTGAGTTTGTAGACCAGTGTAGTAAAATAAAAATAAATTCATACAGAATAGCATTGCAATTACCAGGTGTAGGCCGTATCCTCAAACAGAACTTAAACCTATGACGTCTTGTATTTCTACTCATAGACAGACTTTAAAGTTAGTACCATTAACATCGTCTGAAGCATTTTTATGTACAGAACCTGAGAAAAGGACATTAATCTGCCATCTTTTATGTTTTTCTTTGATTGTGGGAAGACAAATTAACAGTGGATGATGAGAAGCACCCTTTTGTTCCAATCGAAATGCTTTGATTACATCGTGACATATGGTCTTGGCACTATGAGCTCTTTGTGAAACGAGATAGATTTTAAAATGTTTTCTAAGTGTCAAAGCTCCCGAATCAAATCACTAAAATATTTCAGTTGTGCATGTATATTTCCTGGGACGAATGTTCAGGTTAAGGATACGTCACGAATGCAACACCACACCAGCTTACCTTCGCTGCTAAGACCTGGCAAGGTGGACGTAGGAATACTGTTTAGTTTCACAAACATTTGAACACACACGGCATATTTCCTACTGTGATAATACAACCCACAAAAGCTAATTTTATCTATGCACCAAGGCGGAATTTTGAGGTAATACAGTTTTTTACTTGACTTTCCTTTTTTGCATTTATATCAAATCTGAATCAAAACGATATAGATACTCAGATCTGGAGGACACCAAACCATTAATCTTCTGGATATTCCAGAAAGTCATACTTTATTAGATACATATCATTTGGGTATGTATGTTTGATATAAACATGACTGGATAAAATACAAAGGAATACCGTTACTCTGATCTGGTTCTCTTCCTCCTCTATATGTTCACCAAATGAAACAGTATAATCTATTATACCCTCAGTTCTTGTCAGCCCGCTTTAATAGATTTGATGCAGTTCAAATATATATATTGAACGGATGATGCTTTGGTATACTTTGGTATAGTTTGGTATACTTTGGTATAGTTTGGTATATCTTGACATTCAGGACGGTTCATACTCTGAACACAGCATGAATGGTTCGTGTCCAGCCCTTGCTGTGGTCATACTTACCGTTGTTTTGGTCAGCATCCGCTCAGCCTGCACGTCCCAGATGGTCATCGTGTGCCGAAAACTGTCGTCAATCACCATCATCAGGTCATTGTCCACTTGTTGCAACGTCTGGAAGAGAATACAAAATGTCAACGCCAGAGAACAACCAGTCCAGTTGTCCATTGCAAAAGATTATAGTGGACCAGAAAATATATAATAGTAGCGAAAACCATAATATGGATGACTGAAATCAGTGATAACACAAGGTCTTCGCAAACCGAGCGAACATGTCTTGCTCAGTCGATGAAACTCGCCATTTACACGATTTGTATTAAACTGTAAGCGTTGTCTGCCGTCACAGTCGTACTTTGTCTGATATTGGAAGTACTACACTTAACTGTATGGTCACATCACCTGGGGCCGTATTTATCAAACAACTAAGTTTTGACTTAAGTTACGGGACTTAGATCGTGTTCTAGTAAATCACAGATGTAAACAATACTGTTTCTGTCAAATCTGTACCTTTGTAACAGCTCATTATCATCTAATGTATGCAGAACTTCTCTTCTTTCATTAAATACTCTTGGAATACGTGTGACAGCCATTTTGTTTCACATGACTTAAGTCAAAAAGAGTTGATTTAAGCCTACCAAGATGAGTCTTAATAGTTAAGTCAAAAAATGACAAAACTTAAGTCTAAGTCTGTTGATGAATATGACTTAAGTTTTACTACAAAACTTAAGTCGAAAAAACTAAGTTTTTTAACTGACTTAAGTTTTTTTAATGACTTAAGTTGTTTGATAAATACGGCCCCTGGGTTATTACAGACATGCCATTCAGTATTACAGTAATAAATGGATTTAGCTATATTTTGATCCAAATAATAGCAATTAAAATATTTTCTGTTGTCCCCCACCGTGATTATGTGGAATATTTCTAAAGGCAGCTTAAAACAATACTCACTCACACAAGACGTTAGCATTTCTACATGAAATTGTTTATATGACAAAAAATAATACATCACTTTACAGATTGCTCTGAAACAGAGTGTAATGTATCCCATCACGGTGGCAAATACTGTGTATCTACTCAAGAAGCCTACCTTGAGAGTTGTATAGGAATCACTATTTGATACTCACACTATTTGTAAAGGAAATAGACGTGATTCCGTTTTGAAAGACCCCAAGTCCAATCAGTGTGATTGTTGACAGAGTATCTACGTCCCAGATCCGAATATGAGCCTGAAATAATAACAGCATTAAATAATACATGTAAATAATAACCGTAACAAATAATAACACTTTCTTTCTTCTCCGTAACCATACGCAAACGCACTTTGTAGTCATGTAATTAAATAAATATACCACACTCCATTGTTGCTTACAAAGCTGTGATATTGTATTTACTACTATCTGTTTTAGATATAATATAGTGCCTTGTGTCCCACAGGCCATATGGCCGGATGTTATATTTTACTGAATGTTTTAAAGTCTATGTATGTTTGATATATAACATGTGACACTCAAATAAAAATATTTTCTTTCTTCTTTCTATTAAACAATACTGTTTAACCTGAACAACTGACTTGGTGTTCTCGAAATCCTTTGTCAAGGAACACAATTGAGATGAGTGATGGATAGGTGTTTCAATTGGCGTCCTTTAAAAAAAGTTCTCATCGAAATTTCTTTTATGACCTTCATTAATGAGGTCAGTGGTAAAATAATGTCCATCATATGAGTTATAGTGTACGTTTGTCAGCGTCGTAATAGAGTTTGAATAGTTTTACCAAAGTATTTAACCCGTGAATATCCGGGTTAGAATTGGTCTTCAGCAACCCATGCTTGTAAGAGGCGACTAACGGGATTTGGTGGTCAGGCTCGCTGACTTGGTTGACACATGTCATCGTATTCCAATTGGGTAGATCAATGCTCATTTTGCTGATCACTGGATTGTCTGGTGCAGACTCGATTATTTTCAGACCGACGCCATATTGCTGGAATATTGCTGAGTGCGGCGTAAAACAACAACCAAACCAACCAAAGTAGTCAATATCTGAGACCTGCAACATTTGGGGCTTTACTATTTCCGTATTCACCTGACACGTCGAAATATGACAGGAATACGGTTGAAAGCTGCGTTTAACTGGCTCACGTGTGTGATTGATAATTATTATTATGCTGAAGAGAGTAAATGTTATTTATTAACTCACCCCATTGCCCGAGCCTCGTCCTTGCATCTGGCCGGTGGCCACTCTGTTTTGGTGTGGGTGGACAGTCAGGCTGTAAATATATGTATGATACATACATACAATGCACTTCGTTGATAACTACCACAATAAAACCGAAGGGGAATAATCATGCCAATCTGGGATTCGAACCAGCGATACCCATGTCTCCGCTGATGAAAGAAACCCAGGCATGGAAAGGCTGATAATATTAGTACGTTGATATGTGGGTGTTTGGGGATGGTGGCATGTGAGGATACGTTTGTGGATATGTCGGTATGGGTATGCTGGTATGTTGCATGCGGTTATGTGTGATGCTGGTATGGGTATATGGAGATGTTGGTGTAACAGCATGTGGACATTCGGTTATGTTGGTAGATCATCATTAGTGAAATTCCCACAGACTTGCATGTTAATTAACTCTTGCAAGAATAATTTTCATAAATTTAGTTTCGGTCGAATTGCTTTTAGTACTTATCTACCAGCTGGGAAATCATCTCAGCTACGTACACATAATTTCAATTCAATTTTCCAATGATTATTAAGAAAACTGCAACTATTTAAACAACATATATTAGACATACCAATCAGGTTTAACATGGCTGTCTATCGGATAGATTAAATTAAGTTGTACGTATAGTGCTTAATCAGGTCTCATTCGATAACAAATCAACGGAAAGATGAAAGAAAAGTATGTACATGTAGCTGAAGATCATTTCCAAGATGTTTGCATATTATCCAAATATGATGACTTCTACTCATTTATGAAAATTATTCTTGCAACAGTGAATTAACATGTAAGTCTCACTCACACTGTCATCATGCGAAGCCTTCATAATAATACCCTGGTAAACCTTCCACACACGACAGTGTATAAAAGAGAGAACTTACCACGTGATGTCTTCGTTGTGGCCAGTGTAGAAGCGCTGACTGTGGTTGTGCCAGTCGTAGATGACAACGACTGCTGCAACGTAGTACACCAACTCAGACGTGTCCAGTATATCTAGGTTCTTGTGCCGGTCATTTCCTCTGTAGCCGTAACTTAGGACGTCAAGGATTTACTTGTTGTTTTATATCTATAAACTCGATAGGGACACGTTGGGGCGCCATATCATATCATTTTGGGATTCAATTCTAATTTTCCCTTTTGGTTATCATCTTTGTTGCACGAAGAAAGTGAAACAGATTCTTGAGATAAATTAGACTCCTACATATTATGATATTTCACGTCTTGTGGCGCTCACCCTAGAAGTTCCGGGCTAGAATTGATCTTCAGTAACCCATGCTTGTCGTAAGAGGCGACTAAGAGGATCGGGTGGTCAGGCTCGCTGACTTGGTTGACACAAGTCATCGGTTCCCAGTTGCGTAGATCGATGCTCATGCTGTTGATCACTGGCTTGTCTGGTCCAGACTCTTTAAATTACAGACCACTGCCATATAGCTGGAATATTGCTGTTTGTGGCGTAAAACTAAACTCACTCACTCACTCTTGTGGCGCTTCCTGAATTCTGTAAGTGAGTGAGTAGTGTTTTATGCTGCCTTTAGCAATATTCTTGCAATATGATGTTGGGTGACTTTAGAAATCAGTTTGACACATTTGACACGTGTTGGGAGCCGTCTCAACCCGGCTAAAAGGTATTGGTGGAGTTCTTACATTAATTGTTGTTCACAACCGGGGAATTGAACCCGGGTCAATGGCGTTACGAGCGGACGCTTTAACCACTTCGGTACACCACTGTCCCTTATTGTATGGTGGGCAGTATAGTAGGGTATCGTAGGGTGGGCAATAGTGTTGGGAATTGGTTAAAATCTCACAATTGATGATTGGTTTATTACAACCGATCAATCATCGAAAAATATTGGTTAGTGTCATTTATCAAATTCTCCTGGTTATGTTTGTTAATGCACAAAAAAATATAGAAAAAACATGTAGTTCTTTGGGGTTTCTTGGCAAATTGCACAAAATGCATTTACAAATTTCACATTTTCAAAGGATGACTAGTATGTTAGGAACATAAATTTCCTGGAATCTTTAAGATAAATTCAGTCATGACTTGGAAAGAGCTTGTAGTACTTATGAAATGTAACAGACAAAACCAACCATTTGAAAAATGTTATTAATGCAAACAAGTGTTCCAAAATTGTTTGTGTTCGATTATGAGAAAACATAATCGATTGCTTGGTCGTTTAGTCACTGCGACCAATCTTCGATTATTTCAATTATTATTATTATTATTATGCTAGCATTTGTATAGCGCCGAGATATCCAGCTCAGCTCAGCTGCTCAAAGGCGCTTTGTTTTTCCCTCGTTCACTGGATGTCAATCTCAACGGCACATCGTATTGTCAATCTCAACTCCCTGGGGAGCATACAACTCTTGCAACACTAGTGGGCAAGTGACCCTTTCACCTTATAAATCATTCATTGTTTCAAGGATACACCCACTGCAGCATGAGTTTTCTGTCCGGTTTACCCAGTTCATCCTCAATGTCGTGGTACGAAGGGTAGAACTCTGTAGAAACACACGGGTATACATCACGTTCATCTCAGAAGGGTAAACAGTAGGGGTGTCGCGATACGCGAATGTATCGATGCATCGATACATTTTTACTGACGATACGATACGCGATACATGCTTGCGTGTATCGATTCCTATTTTAAAACTTTATCGATTCAAATTTTTATGCTATATCCATCTCCTTCAAAGTCTTGATAGTAAAATTATACGAGATCGCTCCGATAAATAGATGTAGCTAGCTTTACTTAAAAAATAGGTTGGAAACTAACAGTTTTTGTGATTGGCTAGACTATTTTGATGGACCAATCAGCGAGCGCGTACGTTGCCGGTAAGGTAATGCTATGAAAAGGCGCGAAAATTATATATCGTGATACGTATCGTATCGTGACCTTAAAATCGTGATACGTATCGTATCGTGAGATTGGTGTATCGTGACACCCTAGTAATCAGGTATACATCACTATATAGGTGTTCAGTGGTAATGATATATTATTCATTTCGCTTATTGTCAAAGAGGAAACGCTCTGTAATCTTGAACGTGACAGTAATCCAAATTTCACATCACTTCTGAAGCAGTTAGTGTAAAATACAAAATATAACAAACACACACACACACACACACACACACACATTAAATACAGAAATCCACAAAATAATGACACATTACGAATTTCCCTCGTGTTTCAATTTTATCTTCAGAGAGAAGATATATTTGAAACTCGAAGGAGGGAAATTTGTGTTTGTGGATTTGATTTATATATGAACTTTAAATTTATATAAACATACATATTTACATTATTCTGGACTGTTCATTATAGTTTTGGGATTTCACATTGTATATACACACAACACATACACAAAATCGAGTTGCTACAATTACATTGAGGTGCGAGGTGTTTGAGTGATTCACATCAACTGCTTTCATTCAGTGCTATAAAGGGGCTTGATCTGACTTGTAATATTCAATGTATGAAGATTTACCAATCTATGGTACGAAATAACAATGTGCTAAAGAAATCATGGAAATCAGGTCGAACCCTCTTTAACTCACATTCAACAAGCACACATAATCCTCAACCATGGAACCAAGTTTGCCTCTATCAAGCTCAGTATCAACGTTCCAAACATCTTTTTTGTGTTCTTTATGGCCTCTCTGCACTTTTGATCAATTATATCATGGCACTCAATGATATAGTTTTGCCAAATTATATGCTTCAAGAATGAATAGAGCATGAATATGATGTGTGATTAAAATGCATTGTTTTCCAATTAGTCGACTTATTCGATGTTTCGGCTCATCCGATTAGGGAAATTATGATGAAAACATATATTGCCAGAAGTATGCCGAACGATGCATTTTACAGATAGAAATTCAAGTTTATGAAATTAAATTGGCTCCTTATTGGAAGAAATGAGGTTATACTGGATCCAAACTGGTAGCAATTTGGTTAAATTGGATTTACATTCGAGGTGACGGTTTACACTGGATCCAAAATGGAAGCAATTTGGTTAAATTGGATCTACATTCGAGGTTACGAGTTTAAATTGGATCAACATTCGAGACAACCATGTGTATAAGATTACGTGTGCGTGAACTCGTCGAAGTGCCCTCGTGCTGTGCTTGTGTACCATTTGGCTGTGCCTTTTCCATACCTCGTCTGCGGCCATTTATTTTAACTTTGACAGTGTCATATCTGTTCAAGGCTGGGATACCGTTTTGGACGCCGCTTGACCTGGGGGAGCTGTTGCCGTTCATCTGCATCATGTCTACTCGGGGTGGGGCGGAATCGGCGCCTGGGAGGACAACACCGTTCTTATGTTATGTGCGGGTAATGGATTAAGACACAAAATTGTGAGTGTAATTTCCCGAAACTGCATAATCCGCTACTGCATTTACCCTTTGCTTCTCATGCGCTCACATTATGCAAACGGTATATTAGGCATGTGCATAATCTGTTCTCTGCATTTTGCGGAACCGCTGTTGCATTTACCCTGTGTCTCTCATGCGCTCACATTATGCAAACGGCATATCAAGCAAGTGCATAATCTGTTGTCTGCATTTTGCGGAACCGCTGTTGCATTTACCCTGTCTCTCATGCGCTTCTAGTATGCAAACGGCATATCAAGCAAGTGCATAATCTGTTGTCTGCATTTTGCAGAACCGCTATCGCATTGACCCTGTGCCTCTCATGCGCTTCTAGTATGCAAACCGCAGACACGATAGTAATTAGGAGCATACGTAGGTAAAATTTATATAAAAAATAATAAATGCATTTTCACATTTCAACATCCATAGCACATACGTCAGCAAGAGGCATATTCTCTTGCGTCCCTTGCCATAGCAGGATCCGCTGATTTTACTAGATAGAATCCAGATTGGCCCTGGTTACCTTATTTGATTTGTCAGCATAATATATCTGAGAGGTTTTTCATGAACCCATAATTTGGCTTTTTGATTATTCGAACACCTTTAATTAAATAGAATCTCGTCATTTCTAACCTATGGCGTATTTTGGCCTTGGTCTGAGAGGCGGTCTGTAGATGTCGCTGGAGTAGGGCGGCGATCCGCGGAAAACCCAGTCGGCAGGGACCTTCTCCCTCCCGCAAACCAGAATTGCGTCATTCCGCCGGTGTTCTCGAACAAGTTGACTTAAACTGCATATCTATAACATAGATATCAAATGTACAAGGATAACAATAATCATAAATATACATGCTGGAGTGAGTGATCGACTAAGTGAGTACGGATTGGACCGCTTTACCAATACCCCAGCAATATCAATATGAGTGAGTGACTTTAGTTTTACGCCGCTTTTAGCAATATTCCAGCAATAGCAAGGCGGGGTACACCAGACATGGGCTTCACACATTGTACCCATGTGAGGAATCGAACCCCGGTCTTTGGCGTGACGAGCGACCGCTTTAACCATTAGGCTGCCCAACCGCCCCACCCAACGATGATGATAAGAATAAGAATAATAATGACCATGACGACATTGCCATACAGAATATCTGGAATTTTTTTTAGCATTCTCAGTTTACGTTTAAATTGTAAATATATCAAAAGATATTGACTGATTGACATGTAAAACGTCACATACCTCCTCCCCGAGGAAGTCTTTATTGAAGTAGTACAAGGCACATGCAGGTGGAAATTCCAAGTCGACTGCATCAGTTATCTCCCCTGCCAATAAGTCTTCAAAATATCTCGTCGGCTGGAGGAAGGTCTTCCTCCTCTTCTGCGTCGAGTTACAAACCAGCCAGACGATGAGAGGCTTCTTGTTGCCTGAAGATTGTTGGCCAACTACTGGACTTCGTTCTTCTGACAGAGGGTTCCGCATCAAGGGAGAATCATTATGCTGGACCTTCCCAATATGCCAACTTTTGGGACCGAGTTTCCCATACACCGCATCAATCTGACTTCTTTTCATTGCAGTGCTTGCGACAATGTACGTCCCCCCAAGATCAAAGTCATTAACAGAGGATATTTGAGTTGTGCTCGGCCAGTGGTACACAAAATTAGCACCCTTGTCTAATTGAAACTTGGATGTGAGCTCGTTGAGCAGGGTTTCGAAAGTAGGAAACCTCTTGGTACTCACTGCCTCTATGACTGCTGGGCTGCTCTGTTGTTTGAAGTTGTAGAAGTAAGCCCTCTTGCCCTGATGGCCTCCTTGGTTTTCTTTAATGTCGGTATTGACAGAGCTCGCGCCATCGGCGTCCTCATACCGCCTCACGCCCTTACCCCCCCTTCGGAGCGTTGCACCCCCGTCCGTACCTGCTGGGTCGTCTTCCCCTTCACTCGCTTGCTGTGAGGGTTCGCTCTGAAACAAAAGCCGAGGAAGATGCAAGCATGGCAGACTTACGATGAGTCTCTGAATATATGTATTATTGAAAGCAACAAACAATTCCTTTAAATTGAAAAGGAGTCCAGTGAGGTCAGAGATCCTTAGGGAATCTAGAATTTGTTTCATTTATTGCTTAGCATTGCAAATAGGGTTAGGCAGAAAAGAAAATATTGCACTTTGGGGACTGTGAGACTTCAAGCATGGTTGTCTGTCCCTTGCTGGCAAGATCCGTACCACTTTCAGCTAGTCGTTGGTTCGAATCCCGACTCTTCTCGAGTAAGAGCACTGGTTTAACTATTGGAGTCGTGGTTTTCACAAAAATGGAAAACCCTGTTTTGGACACTAATCAATATGGTCTTTTCTTTCGCGTTTCTGGTTCAAGTAGGGTACAACCGGACGCTTTCTCATGTTAACTTGAGCACGATCTTGGGCTGTAATGTATTTTTTTCAGTTCGATCCATTATCACGTGTCATCCGGGTATCGTTTTGAATCTATTCAATCTCTGCTCTTGATATCCGAGTTCTGATGACCTCCTACAGAACCGCGGCATCTATTTACTTCTCCCAAGCCAAGTCATCACATATGCAAACATACTCAGAGGACCACATGCGGCTTAACATCCCTACACATAGATGAATGTTCATGATAAAACGCTTCGTAATGATCTAATTACATTTATAAGATATATTATCTCGGCTAGTCATTGTGCACTCTATGATAACTGAAAAAAAAGGAATTGTTGTATTTAAAAGACCCGTTGGACAATCAAGATAATGATCTTTACGTTCATTGTGAATATCATGGTTACTATAGCAACGCGTTGTTGTATGTAAAAGACTTGTTTGAAAAGTTAATGATGTTAAGCTTATCGATTTCATAATTATCGTTATACAAACGGTTATGCCTGGGTGGTTGTACACATACAAGTTGCATGGGAATACTGACAGACCTTACCAAATTACCTTGAATAAATGAGATTTTGGTATCATAACTCAGCATGGAAGAATGGCCTTTGGCATCGTGTATCAAGAGGAAAGGACAAATGTTGTTCACGCTGTCGTTGTACAAAGCGATCTTAGCGCTAAGGTGACCGTAACTGCCATACCTTAACATAGATTTAAGGCAGCCTTAGCACTAAGGTGACCGTAAATCCCATAACTTAACATAGACCTAAGGTAGCCTTAGCGCTAAGGTGACCGTAACTCCCATAACTTAACATAGACCAAAGGTAGCCTTAGCGCTAAGGTGACCGTAACTCCCATAACTTAACATAGACCTAAGGTAGCCTTAGCGCTAAGGTGACCGTAACTCCCATAACTTAACATAGACTTAAGGTAGTCTTAGCATTAAGGTGACCGTAACTCCCATACCTTAACATAGACTTAAGGTAGCGTTAGCGCTAAGGTGACCGTAACTCCCATACCTTAACATAGACTTAAGGTAGCCTTAGCGCCAAGGTTGCTCTGTACAACGACACCCAGATGTACTGATCTAAAGGTAATAGTAACCGAGTAATGACGTTAGCTGACTTAAAATAATTAAGTGAGTAAACAAAAGGTGAGTTGAGGTGAGGTGAGGTGAGGTGAAATTGGGTTTAACGTCGTACTTGAGAATATTTCACTCATGTGGCGAATAAACAAAAGGAAGAATGACGTAGAGAACGAATAAACCACAGTAGGTCCCACGTAACCACAATTCTTAAGCCTCCTTTAAATCTTTTGTTCATGTCTCAACGGGCAGATCGTTGGAACACTGAGCTCAAAGACGTTCCCTGCGCTGGGAAATTGGGAATCAAATCTTGGCAACACCTATGGTTCGATGGCCATAACACTGTTTAGCTGTTGCAAGACTTCAGTGACCAAACGGAATGTTTAAGTTGTTGTTATCTTGGTAGCACTAACAACATGTGTAACGAATGGTGCAAAGCAAGAAAAAGGCGTGAGTGCATATACAATGTGTTTCTGTTAAGTCACAGAGTTGATATTGTGCTTAAGAAATGTTCTTTTGAACTACTAAGGGAATATTACAGTAAAACGCCATTGTTTCGAAGTTAGGGGGATCTAAGTACATTGTTCGAGGTATGGAAAAATGAAAAATATTAATGAGGAAGGAATACGCAGCGAACAAGCTTTTACTTCGACACAGCCGTTTGTTTGCATATCAACACTCGATACAAAGGTGTTTGACTTAAAACCCACAGGAACTTCACAACGTTGGCTAAGTTGTGGGGAATCGAACCCGGGTCTTCGGGGTGACGAGGGAACGCTTTAACTACTAGGCTACCCCACCGCCCCTCTTATTTGAGACCATCGTAACATCATAATGGCGCATGACCTCGCAAAGAAATACCAACCTGCACTTCCTAAATTCGCCCTTTCAACATATTTGGACTAACTTATAATGTAACGGTATTATATCTGTAAGAATTCGCTACGTAAATATTGCATTTAATTGTATTTCTTAATCAAAAGCGAAATGTTTGGCTCTGTTAAGATGGTAAATCAGACACGAGTTATGAAATTTGTAACTAAGTGGGTTTTGCTTTACGCCGCTTTTAGCAATATTCCAGCAATATAACAGCGTGGGGACACCAGAAATGGGCTCCACACATTGTACCCATGTTGGGAAGAACCCGGGTCTTCGGCGTGACGAGCGAACGCTTTAAACATTAGGCTACCCCACCGCCCCTAGTAAGTTCGTGACAAGTTGAATACTTGTGGATAGATGTACTTATAGTGGGCGGTGCTATCTTGTTTTCACCTGTTCACCTTTGCTCATTACTGTTACAAAGCGGAAACACTGAGTTTCATTCCTCAAGGGTAATATCAACCATAATAGATTATGTGAAAAACAACGAAGAGTTAGTTAGCGGAATCACTGACACTGAGGTTTTCCCTGCATTTTGGCGGGCGTGCGTTTAAATCTATAACATGCCTGTACCAGAGAGCGACTGGTATGCTAACATATACTGATACGGTAAGCAAAGCTTATTACTATTGGGGATTGTCTACAATCTTGCAACACACGTGGTATTACCATGCTGAAAGCTTTGCCACTGTCGAGAAGACACAGAAAGAAAACATGGAGTAAAAGAGTAAACTTTGTATCGGAAGCATCTCAATACTTCTGTTGAACTGAGAAAATGAAGCGTGTGTCTATATTCGCTTCTTTATCACAACAAAAAGGAACGCCATCGAAACGCAAAGGAAGCGATCAATCACGGAATCTATACTGACGAATGCCATCGATTAATCGGAAACCCCTGATACACTTCGTCAGCCCGCGTGTCTATTTCTTAGAAGGTTCCAGGATGTACATAGAGGATATTATATATGAGTGCCCATGTCATACTATGTTTACGACACGAGTGCCTAGATGTTGGTATACCGATATTTAGGCACGAGTGTCGTAAACATAGTAGGATATGGGCACGAATATAATATTCTGTTTATTACCGAAGTCATCAAATTGAGGAAAATAGACCTAAATCTACTTTAAACATAGGCTGGCTACCCGCCGTTGCCGCATGTAGAACGCTACGTCACAGAAGAAACGTGACGTCATAACATAATAAAGGACATTCATGACCATATGTTCTCCGGCCGAAATAGAATAATGAACGACTAATGTAATTCTGAAAAAAATTGACAGGTATCGTTTGGGAAAGACATTAAGACCATTTCCGTGAAAACATCCCATGCGTGATTTTGAAAATCTTCCAGAATGTGTTTGGGAGAGGTAGATAAACTCAAAGATTACCAGTGGATTTGAGAAAATGTTTGACCTACGAACCCGAGAATTATTGACATTCAACGCTTCGGCGATTTGTACATGACTGCGCATTTTAATATACTTTCTTTAAACTCTTGTAATCCTGTTCACCGAACAAAAAGCCCTTGTGTCGTCGAAATATACAAGACAAACACATAGACAATAACTATTTAGTACACGCTCAGCAAAAACTGAGAAATTTGAGATTATTACAGTTCAATGTAAACTATACATGTTGTTTGTAATTCTGTAAGTTCAGTGGACCTCGGCTAAGTACTCTGTACTCAGAACAGAGCCAATCCCCATGCATTAACAGCATAATTCCATCTTTTAATTAAGTCAGGCATCTTGTAATGGGTACACTTGACAACACGCAAGTATTTAAAAGGTACGTTATATCAAGTATATATAGTACTTGTATAAACGAAAGAAAATGATAATATTTGTATAAACTGTTTGACTGGTTTCAGAAACGTCGCATTAAGATACAAAGAAGTTGGGATCCATAAAAGATAACTTGCTTTTACTGTTATCATTTTGATATCGTCAAACATTCCATTTAAGATCACATTTCACAACAGTTTGCCAGTCTCCCGTGCATTTTAAGTAAAATATGCAGCAACGTCCTTACCACAATATCTCTCATTGCTAAAATGGTGCTGTTCAGAACTCTTCCTAATGAGCCTGCTTGACTGCTTTCCACTTAAACTATAACGGGTGAGGAAGTCTTACTGTATAATCGTTCACACCAGTTTACCCAAGATAAATAGTTGACTCCGGTTAATATTAACCACTGTTAATATAATGGAGATGAAATTTAGTTCACCATGGTTACATGTAAACAAACCTCCGAGCTTGAGAACGAGTCATCCTCCGAAGAGGAATCGACCGACCCAGAATCCCCCGTCGAATCATCCTCATCTTCACTGTCATCACTAGAGCGAGACTGGGTTCTGTCTCTTCTATTGTGCCGTTCTCTGCTGTTCATTGACTGGTCTTTGTTAACGTAACTGGATCCCCTATCATGTTTACTAGGCTTGGAAGACATTCGATTGTTTTTCTGCTCATGTCTTGAGTCTTTCACGGACCGTCTGGACTCTCTTGAAGAAAGCGCCACGTACCGATTAGGGTCTATTGGCTTCCGAACCTTTTTGGTAAATGTCTTGCTCCTATTTTTTGAAGTATCCTTTTTACGAATGTCTCT